CAAATTTATAATTCAAAGGGCATAGTGGTAAGATAAGATGTATAACTTGGAGTAGAGATGATACAATTTTAGCAACTTGTGGTTAGGATGGTTTAATATCTTTATGGAAAGTAGGTGCTGATACTACAGGATAAAGAATGCTTGATATTCATGCAAAAGCTAATGGGAAGAATATACCATAATCAAGTGTAGCTTTGACATTTGATACAAAAATAGTTTATGTTGTAGGAGAGGATCGTCATTTAAGAGAATTTAATTGTTAAGAGCCAACAGAAAATAAAAGAAATGTTGAAGCTACTCTTTCTTAGATATGTTTTTCGAGTAGTAATAAAATATTGTTTGCTGGTGTTTGTGATGAGAATAGATATTCAGGAGCTGTTAGATGTTATAAATATCCTTTTGTTGGACCTTCTGCAGGAACTAATGTTGAATATTAAGCACATGATGAAAGAGGTATTGAAAAAATGAAAATTACTGCGGATGATTAATATCTCATTACTGCTGGTAGAGATGGAGCTATTATTGTTTTTGAAATCAAAGATAAAGATGCAAGAGGATAAAAAAATAAAGAAGGATATCAATAAAGATATGCTGATGATATTATTGTTACTAAAGAAGATAAGGCTGATCTTAAAACTACTAGAGATAATCTTAAAACTTAATTATAAGATATTACTGCTCCATAAAATGCTATTAATATTTCATCAAAAGAAGATTAAATTAAATAATTAACTGATAAAGAATCTACTCTAAAGTAATAATATAAAGTAGCTTATGATACTTTAATTGAAAAAAAAAGAGAAACTGAAAAACATATTTAAGAAACCAGAAAATAAATTATGGAAGAATTCGAAGCTGAAATTTAAGAATTAGAATAAAATTAATAAAGTAAAGTTAATAAAGAAGCAGAAAAATATGAAAAAACAAAAAATGAAAAAGAAATTCATTAAACTAAATATGAAAAGGAAATTGGCAAATTATAAAGAGAACATACTGATGAACTTAAAAAATTAGAAAAAGATTATGATGCTAGATTATTAGAAGAAAGGTAATAGAGAGAAAGAATGGAAAAAGAATACAATAAAGAAAAAGAAAAATATAGAGATACTATCGAATAAATTAGAAAAGAAACTATTGGTGAAATTGAAGCTCTTGAAGAATAAAATTAATAATAAATTCTTTAAAAAACTGATTAAGGTCTGAAGGCTAAAAGTGAAGTTAGCATGACCAAGAAGAAAATTTAATCACTTTTATAAGAGGAAGAAAAATAAAATGAAAATCTTAAAGATTATAATGAATAAAAAAAATAATTAGAAGAACAAAATTTGTAACTTAAAACTGCTATTGAAGAATAATTAAAATAAATTTAAGATAAGGATAAAACTATAGGAGAAAAAGAGAGAAAAATATATGAATTAAAAAAGAGATCTCAAGAATTAGAAAAATTTAAGTTTGTTTTAGATCACAAAATTAAAGAACTTAAAAGAGATACTGGACCTAGAGATGAAGAAATTAATAGAATGAAAGAAAAAACTAATATGATGGATTAAAAATTAAAAAATTTTGCTTATTTAAATAATAATTTAGGCAATGTAGTTGATGCTCTTGATTAAGAATTAAAAATTATGAAAACAAATATTAAAAAATAAAGACAATTAATCTCATTCTAAAATGTAAGAATAAAAAAATTTAAAGATTCTGTCTATTAAGCTGTTTAATTCATTCAAAATTAAGAAGAATTAACTAAAAAAGCTCAGGAAATCTTTAAAGAATTCCATAAAGACGATGTCAAACCATAATAAGTTAATGCTGATATTTTAGCAGAATATAAAAGTCAGAAGCAATACTTAGAAAAATCTGTTGAAGGATTGAAAGCAAATCTTCAAGCAGATGAAGAAATACATAAAGCTGAAAACATTAGAATAATGAGAGGAAATGTTAAATTAATTATCGAAATCAATAATTTGAGAAAAAAAATGAAGTAAATTAAATCAACTCATAATAATTAAGAATAAAAAGGAGATAAAAAAATGTCTCAAACAGGTATTTTATTAATTATATAAAATAGCCAACTCTGATATTTAAAAGGCAAAATAAAGAGTTATTTAAGAAAAATAACTTATAATCGAATAATAACAATTGGCTAAAGATGCTTTGCTAAATTAAATTTAAGAATTGGAAGCAGAACTTTCAATAATTGGAGAATGAAGAATTTTATATTAATTATATTTTTATTATAAATATATTACCTTATAATTGTTAATATAATCTGGATAACGTATTAAACGATTTTTCAATGCCTTTTTTCGAATTTATAATAAATGATTCTAAGAACAATGAAAATCAANTGAGCATGACCAAGAAGAAAATATAATCACTTTTATAAGAGGAAGAAAAATAAAATGAAAATCTTAAAGATTATAATGAATAAAAAAAATAATTAGAAGAGCAAAATTTATAACTCAAAACTGCTATTGAAGAATAATTAAAATAAATTTAAGATAAGGATAAAACTATAGGAGAAAAGGAGAGAAAAATATATGAATTAAAAAAGAGATCTCAAGAATTAGAAAAATTTAAGTTTGTTTTAGATCATAAAATTAAAGAACTTAAAAGAGATACAGGACCGAGAGATGAAGAAATTAATAGGATGAAAGAAAAAACTAATATGATGGATTAAAAATTAAAAAACTTTGCTTATTTAAATAATAATTTAGGTAATGTAGTTGATGCTCTTGATTAAGAATTAAAAATTATGAAAACCAATATTAAAAAATAAAGATAATTAATTTCGTTCTAAAATGTAAGAATTAAAAAATTTAAAGACTCTGTCTATTAAGCTGTTTAATTCATTTAAAATTAAGAAGAATTAACAAAAAAAGCTCAAGAAATTTTTAAAGAATTCCATAAAGATGATGTCAAACCATAATAAGTTAATGCTGATATTTTAGCAGAATATAAAAGTCAGAAACAATACTTAGAAAAATCTGTTGAAGGATTGAAAGCAAATCTTCAAGCAGATGAAGAAATACATAAAGCTGAAAACATTAGAATAATGAGAGGAAATGTTAAATTAATTATCGAAATCAATAATTTGAGAAAAAAAATGAAGTAAATTAAATCAACTCATAATAATTAAGAATAAAAAGGAGATAAAAAAATGTCTCAAACAGGTATTTTATTATTTAAAAAAAATAGCCAACTCTGATATTTAAAAGGCAAAATAAAGAGTTATTTAAGAAAAATAACTTATAATCGAACAACAACAATTGGCTAAAGATGCTTTGTTAAATTAAATTTAAGAATTGGAAGCAGAACTTTCAGTAATTGGGGAATGAAGGTATAAATTATATTTTTATTTTACATAAATTACCTTATAATTGTGAATATAATCATGATATTTATAAAACAATTTTTCAACTTTGTTTTTTAATTTATAATAAATTCTAAGAACAATGAAAATCAAAAAAAATCTCTAATTTAAAATTTGACGTTATCCGTGATTTCTTATTTTATATAAAATAGTAAACATGCGTTCTTAGATGTTATTTTAGGTAAATCTATCTTTTTGCTTTAGGAATCATTAAATTCAACCCATTAATCTTATTTTTTTACAAAAGCGGTGTAATGCCTATAATTCTGTTTTTAAATTTAACTTTATTTTAAATTTATAACAGCATAAAGATCATAAAGAACATTATCTTCTCCTTCTTGTAGACAATCCTTAATATTTTAAGAGTTTATTTCAAACTAAACTTAAGTAATTTTTGGCTTTTACAAATAAATAATCAAAATGATGGGCGCTATGCATAAAAAAGTCTGATCAAACAAAGGAATTTTGCAATTTTGACAATTTTTTTGTAATTATTAAGGGGAGCTATATTATTTAAGGTAATCTTCTAATTAAAAATCATAGTCTGAAGTTATTTTTAATTATTTTAAATATTTTTAACTTTAATTCCACACTAAAATTATTTTTGGTTTTGAAGCATCATCAAATTTTAGAATAATAGGATCAACCTCGCATCCATTACAATTAGTTTAACTATTATTTACAATGATTGATGTCTTTTTGCAATATAAACATTTATTGTCTTTATCTAATAGTCGAATTCTATAAGGGAATTCTGGTTAGTTAAAAAATTTCTTGAATTCATCTTACAGGCTTTGAGGGTTCTAAAAGTTCGGTTATTCTTAGAAGTCATACTAAAATAAATAATTTCTTACAATATTAATGAATCTTTATATTTATTTGTAAATGTAAACCTTTAATTCCTAAAGTGTAATTTAATTGATTGGAATTAAAATGATCATCGGTTTACATATCTACTTATACGAATTATTTTTTGATTAATTTAAGTAGTTATACACTTCAATCTTTTTTAGTTTCAATTGATTTACAACATTTTTTCTAAATTATGAAATATCTTGATGATTAATATGATATCCTTAATTTTAAGAAAAATCTTAAATAAAATACTAATCTTCTAAAACACTTTCTATTTATCCTTCCCTCCAAATATTATCCTTTGATTTAAAATTTACTATATCAAACTATTGAAAATTTGAAGTTGGATATTTGAAGATTTAGGAAATTTCCTAAAATTCCTATTTTGCTTCCTATTAATTTCCTAGTTCATAAACATATATAGTTTTTTTACTCCTAATACCTAAAGTAGATAGTTCTTATTAATTATCATCATAAGAAATTCTACGAAAGGCTCCTTAATATTTATATGCAATTTCATATTAATCTTAATTAAGATTTTTTAATAACTTAATTTTATCCTACAAATGTATAATTTTAGAATTATTTTAGAGAATTATTCTTTCTTTTTTTATTTCATTGAATTAATTTTCTGTTTCAATAAGTTTATGTTTTTTAAAAAATATAAGTTATAATCTGCACTCATCTTCCATTTCTAAAACATTCAAATTTAAGATAATAAATTATTCATCCTACCCTCTCTAATGTTAACATTGATTACATTTCGTTTTTTGTGTTTTTGTTCCTTAGAAAAGTGTTTCAATAATAGTATTTTTCTATTTGTCTGATTCTTATAATTCAACTGAAATATTTTCTAATAAATCTTTTAAAAATTCATTCGAATCTCCGGGTTAGCCTATACTATATATTGGTTGTTTTTTAAAATCTAGAATTTTTTGAGTTACGGCGTCTCTAAATTTATCTATCGAAATATTTTATTCTATTCCTTCTTTTAATTATTTAACTAAAAGAGACAATTCTTCTGTTAAACTAGTTTATTGTGGTTACTTTTTTTTAGACTTTGAAAGGGAATTTAGTAAAGTAATAGAATTTTGATAACTTTAATTATAAAGAAAATTACTCAAATATGGAGTTTCTGCTAAACATTGCAATACAACATTTATATAGCAACTCTGTCCTTAATTCTATATACCTGTATAAATAATATCTTTTGTTTAAACATCAAAACATTTTTAAGGAGATAATCCTTATTTATATAATTAGAGTTTGATTTATGAATCCTAGTTTATTATATTTTAATTTTATTTCAAATCAGAATTCTTACTTTAAGGATACTTTCTAAGTTTTGTAATTGTGAAAAAAGTTTTTGGTGGATAATTTTAAATTGAATCATCTAAATCAATAACCATTTTCCATTCACTTTCCTAAACTTTCTGGAAAAAAAGAAGATATTCTTTTCCATTTTAAGTGTTAATATTAAATCTTTTAAATAGTTTTTTTCTTACATCATTCAAAGTAGAATCAAGATTCATTTTTAACTCTTTTTAATTGTCAAATAAAATTTCTTATATAATACTATTTTCATTCTCTTTTGCTTAAACTCCTAGCATCATTTTTACTTTTGGATATAACTCTAAATCAATTTTATTGGCAATATTTTCAAAATTTCTCTTATAGATATGTTTTTGATCGGTGATACCAAAACAGTTTTTTAAATAATCCCAAGTTTCATAAGGAACAATATTATAATCCTTATCCATTAATCCTGGTCTTAATTCTCCTTCATTTTCTCCAGAAATATCACTATTATCAATTCCTCCTGGTTCAAGTTAATTCTAGCTAATTTCTTCAAAATTTTCTTAAAAACTATGTTAAAATTAAGAATTACTATGCTGAGTTCAGTCCTACATAACATTTCAATTTATTCCACCATTGAGCACTTATTATATACACTTTTGAATATTAATTTTATGATATATTTTCATTTACTCTTTATATCATATCACTAATAACTTACTTCTTATCTTTAAAATTCAAAAAAAGATTTAAACTATTTTATAGATTCTCTAGATCTAGATTCTCTGATGCCCATTCCTTAAATTATTGTTATTTAAATGATAGATTTTTTTTTAATGGTTTTGATTAAGGTAAAAAAAAATTTTAATTCTCCTTGTAAAATATCATGAATTCTTGATTACTCAATTGTTTATCATCATCTAAATCGTAAAGGTCAAATAATGTTTCCAATTAATTTTGTTTGTTTTATATTTTGCTAATCATTAAATAAATTGCTTCAAGATCTACTTTTTTACTCTTTTGTTACTCAAAATAATGAAATATTCTTTTCATAAAAAGACCTTTTGGTATTGATTAGTCTTACTTTCTTGATTTAATGGTAAAAATTTAACAAATTCTTCCAAAGTTAATCCTGTTTTTTATCCAAATTCATCATATTTTTCTTTAATTTTTTGACAACTTTTTTGTGGTAAGGAGTTCTTAATTTTTAATTCCTGCTCTGAATTTGGCCGAAAATGTTTATATGTTGGACTATTTAGATAGAAACAAATTCCCATATTTGATTAATTAAATAATGTATAAATAAATTAATATTACCCATTTTCATATCATTAATAATTTTTAATTGTAATATTTTTATTATCTAATGTTTAGAAAATTATTTTGTGGGTTTTGCAATCAAGTTTAAAAAATTAGCTCTTTTAATTAATTGAAAAATATCATGAATCCCCCAACAACTGAAAACTATTAAAGATTATAAAAAACAGTTTAATAGTTGATCCAATCGAATCCAATAAATTGGAAATTCGTACATCGTCTTCAATTATTGAAATCATAATTTGGTTTAGAATTAAATATGCCATACTTACTTTCTAAACTTAAAGATTAACCAATAGATTCTGAAAAACAATCTTTTGTAGTAGAAATTATGTAATAAAATTTTATGGTTGATAAAGAATTATTTAAGGAATTATTTTAATAATTGTTAAAAATGGATGATTTATTTTACTCAACATAATTAAAAATGTTGGATATTTACTTCAAATATCCAGAATTGTTAGATTAAGATAAAATATTGCCAAATTTACTTAAAAGTTTGATTACCTTTAATGATTTAGAACTTTATGAAATAGTTCAGTCATTTTAAGTTCTAGCTTATAAGGATACCAAATTAACTGAATAGAATTAAGAATTGCTAGCAAATTTAAAAAATATGTTAAATAATTAATTAGTAAAAATCTTTCCAGCTCTAGGATAAAAACATTTTAGATAATTAATTGTTTTTTTAAGAAGTAATGAATATCATAACGAAAAATTAAAGGCAGCTATTTTCTAATACTTTTCTGATAATAAAGATATTTTGGGATAATCTTCATATGCAGAATTGATGAGTCTGTGCAATCTAAAGTTCTTTTATAATGAAGACATCAAATATTAAATCTTAATTTAACTCAACTTTCTAAAAGTGAAAGGATTAAATGAGTCAAAATTAATTAATAAATCAATTTTACCATCTGTAATGATTTATTAATATTTTTAGATGTCATAGGCAGAATAAGAAATGATGGCAAATCTAATAACTTTGTCAGGTATAAATTTAGATAAGGAGTTTATAAATACATATTTTACAGGGAGCAATTCTTAAAAAAGAGAAAAACTTGAATAGATGAATCTTAAAGAAAATCAAATCATATAAATTGTGGAGGAATTGGTTAAATATATCAATTAATAATTCCCATAGTTTTTAAAGTAAATAAATTACTTAAAATTATTAGTGTTATGAAAATAGTTTAAACTTTTGGTTTATAACTTCCTGAATTGCTTTAACCTTTAGTTGAGGAATTGAAAAAGATTTTATCCAAATAAGTTGTTAATTCAGCAGATTTAATAACAATTTTAAATTATTTTGATGAATCTGATATACTCTTTGATTAAGAAGATTCTATGGGAATGTAAGATTTTAACAATTATCTAAAATAAGAATAATTTACTTATGGAAAAATTCATTATTTACTAAGATAATTTGCTTTTAAAAAAAACTAAGATCTCTTATTTTAGATATTAAATAAAAGTTATTAAAGTGGATGGACATTAGATTTATGTTCTAAATAAGTATAAATCTATAAGTACTATAACATACCATTACCCCCAATGTTTTTAGATAAATTTTAATAAGTAATAAATGAATATATCCTTAAAAGAAGGAGTCCTTTTGATTAAATTTTGTTTTATAGATGTATAGAAATGGCTGATTGGAGTTAAAATCTGAGATCAGAACAAAGTGATTATTTTAATGAATCACAAAACATAGCTTAAAAAATGAGAAGAGAGAAAACTAAAAACTTAGATTAATCATCTTTTCTTGAATAAGAAATTAAGAATGATCTTATGTAATATATGCCAAAAACACTCAAATTACAAGCTAATTAATATATTAAAGCTTTAGAAGTCGATTTTGTTATTACTAATTAAAAAGGAGATTAATTATTTGTTTAAATTCTTGGTCAGACTCATTTTTATTATAAATCAACCATCTTAAATTATAAAACTTTATTAGAACAATTATATTTGGAAAGACTTGGTACTTGTAAATCGATTAATTATTATTAAACAGATTAATGGAAACAAGATAAATAGAAATCAGTGGATAAATTGATAAGCAGCCTAATTTGAATATATATATGAAATATCAAGAATAATGAGGCGAGAATTTTTATATAATATCTCATTTTATTGGAAATACAGTTGTTGCTTTTCTTTTTAAAAAATGTCTCACACTATGTCTAACTTATTCTAAATAATATTTATTTTGTTTAATATCTTCTTCTTCAATTAATGAATTTCTAAATAAGCGTATAAATTCATAAGGAAATAATAGATATTTTGAATACTTATTTAATAATTAATTTAGTAATTCTAGATTATTTTTTCTTATAGGTCTCATTAATTTAGTTATAACTCTATCTATATTCCATTCCCTATCAAATTTATCAAATTCTTTAATTTATTCAAATTCTTATATTTCTGTTAAACCTTACTCTCCTTCAATCTTTTTAATAAGAAAGAAACATTTCTCATACTCTCTGTTCGTCAACTTAGGTAGGATCGATATTAGTTTATTTAAGGTTTCTTGACAATCACCAGGTTTATCAGAAATTACTGTTTAATCACTTAACTTATTAGTTGTTCCAGATAATAATAGTTTTTTTTCTCTTTTATTTTTAAAACTATCTAAAATTTGAGTTTATTATAATATGCTGGTCCTTTGCATGAATTTAGCTGGGTTAAAAGAAGTTTCAACCAACCATTCTGGAGGATTTAATTAACCTTATTAATCTTCAAAAGTAACAACATTAATTTTTGGTGCTCCATTTTAATGTAGACTAAGACCCTAACTTTATTAATCTTAAATCTCATTTTCAGGAACTATATCATTCTCTAGTTGATATATCTTGGCACTATCTTATATCAAAACCTATTCATTTAATGCTTAGAATTTAGTTCTTTTTTTAGCTTACTTCAATCTACCTCTCTCTTATCTATTTTAAAACTGATATCTCATTATAACTTTCTCTATATCAGGTACATAATGAACAACATTACACCATCGAGTGTAGTGTCGTTTATCATGACATATATAACAAAATTTCTCAGGTATAATTTACAATTGGAATTTGCTCACAACTTTTTAAACTTCTGAACGAGGTATCATTAATAAACTAGAAAAATCAGCAGATTTATAATCTATTTTATCATTTTATGAAAAGAGTTCTTACAAACCAAAAAACTAATTTTCTTTTAATGTGTCAAGTACAATCTATTTATATTTAAAATAATACCTTATCTTGCATCACTTCAACTTTTCCATTTTCTATTATATATATATAATCTTATGTATTAATAAATACTCCTGGCTAAAATACATTAAATTCAGTGCTTTAAAGTAGACATTCTAATGCAGGTTTAGGAAACTGAGAAAAATATTAACATTTAATTATTAATGATGAAGCAGATTCCAATTTTAATTTTTATTACAGATCTTCAGGTAATAAGGTGATGAGTCTTATTTATTCATTTTTTTTTTGAATTATTTCTTGATTCCAATAAAAATTAAAATACTCCCTTACTTTCATTGAGAGTTCAGTACTTAACTTTTTACAATGTAAATATTCATTAATACAAGTCATCTTTTATCTAATCATTTCATTATTTTCCTTCATCTAAGTGAGGATGAGACCGATAGTGTTGACTGAATAAGAATATTGTAATGTGGACAAGAACATGTAACAAATACAAAACATCTTTTCCAGTGAATCTAATAATATAATATATCTTTTACTAGTTGGTGTAATATCTCCATAACCTACAGTAAACATTGTTACACTCATAAAATAAAATGATTCTAAAAATTATACTTACCAATTTTCATTTTTCAATTCCATCATCCAATTGATTTAACCTTGATTTTCATAATACTAACCTAGTTTTAACCTATGGAATACATAAATAAAATTAAATACCAAAGACAACCACAGAAATGTTGAATTAATAAAACTGTAGCTATCAATTTAAAAAGATCTATTACAGAACTCACCATTTTAGTTGGTTTTAAATTATATTAGATTATGTCGACTAATTTCATTATGTTTCTCAATTAATAATAAAATAATATAAAAAACCAAGTACTTAATTGATAATCTAGGGATACAAGTATTCCAAATAAAATACTGCCTATTTCTATTGCTAAACCAAGATTAATTTGCTTTTTAAATAATTATAATCGATTCTTAACTGGTAATCCTTTGTGAAAATAGATAGTAAAGTTTCTTATTACTAAATCAAATACAAGAAACATGCAACTAATTAGAAAATAGTTGGCATGATCATTTTATAAAAATGGAAACGATATAATGATAGGAGACCAAATAATCAAATAAATACGAATCAGACAAAGTAAAAAGTCCCAGATTAATTTAATTGTATTATTTGGTTCTATTAATGGGATGTAATTATATAATTAAGAGAAGCATCCAGAAAATTTATTTACTATACTATTTTTCCATGTTCTAATTTTGAGTCTTATTTATAAATCTATTGTATTAAGATTTTATTGCAGAAAATTACCACTTATCTTTCCTTTCTATTTCGTATATGAGCTTGCTTAATCGTTTAAAATTTCGTGTTATTTTTGAGAAAATTTACAATCTGGTCTTATAAAGCTAATCATTTTGTTTGCAAATTTTAATGAATGACAATTTATTATCAGTTTAGCAAATGGTGATTTCTTTTTTATCAGCATTGCTTAGTTTTCTCTTTATTTATCAAGAGATAATATTCCTTCAGATTCTGGTAAATCTGGTGGTTACAAAGAATCAAGGGGAATTGAATTGATTCTCATGGTTGTCCCACCAAACTTTTATGCTGAGACCAATTACTGAGTTGTTGAAATGCCTGGGTTGGAAGTTTCTACCTTCATTGGACTCATTTCAACAATTGAATTATCTAAACCCTTTGAGTTCATTTCTTGTTCTATCTATGGGGACATCAATTTGCATTTACTAGTTGATGTATACTACATTTTAATTAAATTATATAATTCAGGATACTAGATTTTAAATCATTTACTTCAAATTATTCTACACTTTGTGAACATTAAAATATACAAAAAATATTATCAGCAAAATATGATTCAATAAAAAAAATAAATTTATTATCTAAGATATCATACAATATTGTTATTTTCTTAATATATCTTCAAGAAGAACTTAATTTAATATAAATTGACCCTTGTAGCTGTTAATTTAATATTATCTAAATATTATATTTCTATTTAACAATAAAAATTATTTCTAAATTACTCAAATAATTCTAACATTCTTTATTTGATTTCTTATTTAATTATCAATATAATAAAAATAAATATTTAATGCAAAATCCATTAAATAAAAGTCGTACATTTTTAAGAAGGAAAACAGATTTACTAAAAGATTATTTAGCCGGTGGAACAGCTCTTTTACTATTTGGATTATTTATTTCGTTTCAATACAAGAAAATCAATCCACCTGATCCAGTGGATGAACCTTAATGTAAAGATAATGAAATTATTTAGATAGTTAGGAGTATAACATTTTAGATTTTGTTCAAGATAGTATTAGAAAAATAACAAATATAAAATATAATTAAATTCTTGAGTAAAGAGAGAAAAATGTTTAAAAAAAACACACAGAATGAGAATATATATTAAAATAAAAATGTTGTATTGTTTAATTAATTTAATTTGCTCTGCAATCATAAATAGTACAAAATTATAGGATCAATAGATTGATATAGCTTTATTAATGAGAAATGATTAATTAAATAATAATTATTTTTAAAGTGTGTTATATTTTTTTTTAGATATTAAGAGTTGAAACCAATAAAGAACTTAAATTATATTAAATAATAAAATAATTAAATGGATTATCTTAAGGACAAGAAGAAATTCAATGCTCTTGCTAAAGATGTATTTGATGCAATAGATGAAAACTGTATAAATTTTTGATTCTATAAAAAGAAAATGGTTACATCGAATTTCAAGAGATGAAGAGAGCTGTTCTTGAAATGTATTAAAATGTAGATGTCAAGGTAATGATAAAATCTATTTACAGTAAATGACAGATAAATAGCTGGATGATATGATAAGTCAATTCGATTAAGATGAGAATTAAACATTGAGTTAAAATGAATTAGCCACTTTTTTAAGATAAGTATTAGAAAAAAGCGTAAAATTATAAAAAGAAGAAGAAGGTATGATAAGTAGAAATAAATTTTAGAGAAAAAGAAATAAAAAAAGGATGATAAAAATGAATGTAAAAAATTTAGTAAAACAATTAGCAACAACATTTCGATCAAAAAAAATAACAACAAGAGAGAGAGAATTATAAAAATAAGAGTTGAATCAATTAAAATAAGAACTTAAAAATTTAAAAACATAAGATAAGAAGTCGTAACCGTTACAAAATTAGAAATTAGTAAACTTTTATGTCAAGTATGAAATGAAATTATTTAATCAGCCCAACAGCAAGAGATGAAGAAGTTAAAGAGAAATAATAAATGTTTGATGCTTCTAGCAATAATCTATCAAATAATCTATCAATAACATCTTCTTTATCTTCAAAATCAAATAAATCCTTAAATCCTTTGGTAATAAATCAATATTTAAGATAAGGATTCGTAAAATCTGCAGGTAAATTTAACTTTAATAAGTAGAGGACATTATATAAATGTCATAAAATTCAAAAACTAATCATTTGATTGGTATGGCAGTAAAAAGAATAAGTGCTGGAGAATGGTAAGGATTGATAGATTATTTTAATGAATAAACTGATAAAGAATTTGATAGAACACCAAGCAGTTAATAATTTCATATTATAAGTAATAAACTATCTAAAAATGTGAAATTCTTACTTATTCATATATAAGGTCTGAAATTCAATAATGCAAAAGATTTAAGAATAAATGATATATCTGATTTATAAAAAGCTTTATTTTTTTGGGAAATAAAATACAATGAATAGACTTATTTTAAAAATTCAGCAAAAGAATTTCCAAATTAGAAAAATGAATGTCTGGATTCAATTTTAATTTATAATTATACAGATCCAATAGAAGTGATATTTTGGAAGAAATAAGGAAAAGATTCAATCTATGTAGGTTAATTTGATATAACTCCAAATATATTTTAATTAATGAGAAGGGTTGTAGATGAGCCAATAAAAGGAGAATTGGAGAATGAAGAAACAAAATATAAATTAAATCTAAATAAAATAAATAAATCATTAAGGAGATTGGAAGTTCCAGAAGTTAAACTTTATCGTAAGAAGCGAATAAATTATTCTAAAAATTATTAAGAAGATCCTCCTTTAATAGGAGATATTACAGTTAAATTTTAAATGTTTGAAATATTTGAATATGATGCTCCTCAAAGTAAAAATGTATAATATAATAAAAGATTAATTATCAAATGTAATTGGATCACCTCGAAGTTTAACAGAGAGATAAAGAAGAAATTTAGTAGAATAATCAAAATATGGTTCTTATAAATGGCCAGATGATTAATAAAATAAAGCTTTAGTTGTTTCTATAAATGAAGCAAGCATTGAATTGGCTATCGTAAATGAAGAAGATGTTTAATCCTTTTTAGATGGTCAATTAGGTGCTTTAATAAAAGAAACATTTTATTTTAATACTGAGGGATCAGGTTCTAGAAAAACTATTCGTGCAAAAAGACCTTAACTTTCTGAAAATACGTTGGCATTATTAAAATCATTAGATGAACATCCTTTAGTTGTGCAAGTTAATATTCTTAGATAAACAATTAGATAAGGCAGACTACCAAAAAAAGTATTGGAAGAGGCTCTAATTCAATTTGGTTGTTCAGGATCATAATTATTTATTGATCATATTGATGATATGGGTATGTGTGAATATGATTATTGTTTGGATGATGCAAATTATTCTCTTATTATTGATACTATTTAGGATATGGGATTTTCTAATCCAGAAAACATTTAATAAGCTGATAGTTTTGCTGAAAAATTAATTTCAAATATTAAGAGTGTATTAATTGAAGGAAAAAGAGTTGAACCACTTTTTGAATTTTTAAAAGTTGCTGAAAAAATACCAGATTTTGCAATTACTATTAATTTAATTTCTGATTAATTTTAACATGGATTAGGTTCAAAAACAAATAAAGATAATAATATTGAAATTGATCCTGGATCTTTTATTTCTTATTTTGATATCAATAGTAGAGATTTTGAAAAGATGGAGAACTATGAACACATTATGGTTTTAGGGAAATTAGTAAGATTAGCTAAAAAACATTTAAAAAAAGATGATCCATTTTTAAATCACATCTAATCAAATTATGAAGAAGCTAAAACTAGGATTTATTTTACAGTCCCTGTTTTACCTAAGAAAAAAAAATTAAAAGAAAAAGCAAAATTATTAATTTTATAATCTGATAATGTTTCAATAGATTTATTAGGGGATATAGGTATAGATAAGAATGCTTCACTTTCTGAAATTAAATAAAAATTTATTGAGAAAAAGAAATAAATATAAAAAGATGAAGAAAATGTTTAATCTGAAGAAGATTAAGTTCCAGAATTAAAAAAGCCATGTTTATGGAATATTTGTCATGAATTAGTTAGAAGACAAAGATGGAAGATGTTTTATGAAGGATTTGAAGCTGCCCCAGAATTCTACTATTAATAAGGAGGAACTGGAAATACACCATTAATGGATTTTTTTGAGAAAGCACCTTTTAGTGTAATAAATTAAACTATTATTCAATATCATCCTAATAACCCTAATGAAGATAATAAAGAAATACCTAAATTAGATCCTTAGAAGATTTTCGATATGACAACTTCTAAAGGAAAAAGTTTTATACATGCTTTAGCATTAAATAATGATCCTAATCCTTAGGGATAAATTCTTGCTATGAAATCTATACTTGGATTATTTGAATAAGATTAATAAGATTAATTGTTAGTTAATCCAATGAAACCACATGATGCTACTCCTCTTGTTTTATATATTAATAAATTATCAAACTTTTATTAAATTAGATAAGAAGAAGAATCATCAGTTAAAGAAATCTTGAGAATCTTAAAAACACCATTAAAAAAAGATTTTAATTAATCATTGTTTAGAGCTAAATGCTTTTTTAAAGTTTACAATATTGGATTAGAAGAAGATGATGTTAATGATTATTATTATAATCACACACAATTATCAAAAGCTATGGCATAACTATAACCTGCAATTTTTAAATTAGTAATTGAAGAAATTGATTGGATTTCATGGTTCTCTCTAAATATTGAAAATAATAACTTTTTAAATTAAGAAATCTCTTTTGCTATATATAATCTAGCTAGATAAGGAAAAACAGAATATTTAGAATAAACTCTAGATGATTTAAAAAAAACATAAAATAGTTTAATATGTTTAATTAATCCTGATTAAGATTTTATAATCTCTTAAAATCAAAATCAAGAAGAATTTATTTCTAATGAAAATAATTAAATTACAATCTTTAATCAAGATCAAACTAAAACAATCAAATTTGATTAAGATGAAATGTTAAAAGCATTGGCATAATTTTATATTAAATATCCTTTAGAAGCCTTGATTGGTATATAAAAAATATTAAATGAACAATAATTTACAAGTCCTCAATTAAAAAAATTATTAAAGGAAATAATTTAACAAACAATAAAAATGGAGCCTAGAATTCTTGCAAAATAATTTTATATGAAATAAAAAGCACCCTATACAGATTTGGAAAAATTAGGAATGGAAGAAGATATAAAAAAGATTCTTAATCCTGATTAGATCTAAGCATTTAAAGAAAAGTCAAGTAATTTTGCAAAAAATTTTTTTGAAGATGGTTTGTCAGGAGCATTAAAAAATAAAGAAGATGCTTTAAAATTAGATTATGAAAGTTAGAAGGAATTCTTTAAATATACCTCTAAATTAATGACTGAAAAAGGTTTAGATGATTTGCTTAAGTTCATTAATAAGTTAGAGTCAGACAAAATTGATGGAAGAGAAGAAATAACTAATAAACTTCTAAATTAAATAGTAAGATCACTGCCAAATAATTTCGCAAAAAATTAATATCCGAAAATATTTAAAACTTTGAGATAAAATAAAAATAACTCATCTTAAGAATAAGAAAAAAATAAATTCTATTAAAAGAATAAAGAAAAATTTGATCTTATTGATTAAGCTAAAAAGATTAATAATTACTAAATGAAATAAGTATTAAATGCTGCACTTTATTCCAACAATTAATAGTTAATTAACAATTGTTTATTACATTTATGGAACAAATCGCATTAAAATGTAAAATTGAGAATTTAGAGTGTACTTAGACCTTTATATTAAAAATATGGATAATATTATAGAGCTCTTAGTTAACATCCAGCAGTCGTTTTAAATTAACAAGATTTTAATAAATATATGGATGATACTAAAGATGTTGCAACTTTAGAAGATTTTGAAATAGCTGCCAAAGCTTTAGTAAAACTTGGATTGCCTGAAAGATTACCAATATTCTTAAAGAAGTTAGCAGCTAAGAAACCAGAATTGATATTTAATTTATTAGAAGATATTGCTTTAAATCTTTTAGAAAAAGAACTTCTCAGCACTCCTGTTAATCCTATAAAACCAATTGAAGGCTAAATTCCTAAGGTTCAGCCTTAATTTATTATTCCTACTAAAAGATAAATAATTCTAAGTTAATATAATTTATTCGATGCTGGAGCCATGGGTTGTCTCCTTTCAAATGCTAAAAAATTATTAGAGAAATCAGCAAATCTGCCTAAAAGTTGGGATACTTATAATCATAATTTAAATAAATAAGCATTTTAATAACAATACCAATAGAAATTAAGATAGAATTTTTTTACTTAGAATCCTGGAACTATGTTTAATAATTGGAGTAATCCTAATTCAGATATATAAAAAACTGTTGAAACAATATTAGAGGCATTATAAGATTCTTTAGATACTTTATTATCAAAAAAACCAGATTTAAAAGACAAATTAGAAAAAATATCTTTATTGCCTTTAATATCAAATAATATTTCAATAATTGATAAATTAAATAAAAAAGAAGAGAGAATATTCACAGCTATTGAGAATATTATTTTGTAGAATCTAAAATAGAAGGCATCCAATTTAGAATTGAAGAGAATCGAAAAAAGGATTAAAGGAAATCTTTAATTTTTGGAATAGAATTTTACACCTAATCTAAAAACTGTGATGGAAACAGAAAAGAAACGTTCTTTAAGAATACTTAGAGCTTTAGATTACACTTTAAAAAAGGAACAGCAATAATTATAAATATAATTTGCAACAGATGTTGTCTTAATTATAGTTAAGAACTTTGTTCCTGATGACTTTTCAGGAATAATAGATACAAATTCAGAATAAATTTTTAGTAAAATTATTTTTTATAATTAGATGCACTTGCTGTTGCATTAATGAGATGTAAATCAATAGATCCAAAAGCATTAGAGTTTATGGGATCTCAACTCAATAAATATCAATTCTATGATTTAGTTAGTAGTTTGGAATTAGGAGAATAACAAGAATAACAAGAATAATAAAAATAACAAGAATAAAAGAAGAATTAAATAAAAATTAAAGAATCTAGGATATTTAGAAGCATAGAGGCTTATCCTTAAAAAAGTATACATCTAAATTATTATTAATAGCTGAAATTGAACTGGCAGAAAGATTGGTTGTACCATCTTAGAATAACATTCCATACTTTATAAAATTATTAAAAGCCAAAGTTAAACCTTTCTTTAAAACATATACCAAGGAAAAAAACTTTGTTGATGGAAAAGCATTTGGGTTAAATGATTTGAAAAATCTTAGTTTATTCGAATATTTAATAGTGAAATGTCATTATACATTAATTTCAAGTAAAATAATAATTTATTATATTTTAGAACATTATATAAATGTATTCAAACCTAAAAATCCTTTATAAGAAGATTAAGTTATTAAATATTTATGCTTAGCATCAAGTTGTGGAAGTTATACACTTTTTGATCTAATTACAGAATAAATTCTCAATTTAAAATTCCCTCAATTATATAAAGATTATGAAAAGTTTCCATAATTTTAGATATATTTAAATTAGCCTGTCTTTTATTAAGTATTGATGTATGCTTCGGAATAATCATCAACAATGTTTTTTGAGAATATAATTGTAGATGGTGTCACTTTAGATTCATTTTATAGATGGATGAAATTCAACATAGAAGAAGATGAAGATACATAAAACATTTCAAATTATAATTGTTTTGTACCAATAATACTTAAAAAATATGGATAATTACTTTATCTAATTATTTAATTCTTAAGAAAAATAATAAAAAAGGATTAGGATTACTATGCTAATCTAGGTTAAATAATGAATAATAGGAATTTTTCTGAATCAATAATTTCAGATCCAGATGATGAGAATGAGAATGAAAGATTATCTTTATTGGAATTTTCAATTTATTAAGGCTTTCCAGATTTTTGTATGTTGTTCGAGAAAAATATCAAATTGTATAGAAATCCATTAGAAGGAAAAATCTATTAAATCTTACAAGTTCGTATTGGAAAATGTTCAGCAGAATTATAATAAGAAGATTCAGTCTTGATTAATTATTGCAAGAAGTATGAAAAAGATTAAAAAAATTATCGTGTGAGTCATTATTAAGTTTATTTGGTCTCCAAAAAATATTTTTAATCAGATAAAAAAAAATTAGAATCTTTATAGTCTAGTGTGATGTTGTTTAAAATCATGTTATAGTATAAACCATAAATATGCTTATTATTGAATGTAAGGAATGGGTAAGATCTTATTGAAGAAATTGATAACCTTTCAATTGAAAAATAATTATTTTATGAATAATTTTTTTATCTTCACATGATTGGATTTGATAAGATATTGAAATATTAATTAAGTATAAGTGATTATGTGAGACAATTTCATTCTAAATAAAAACTCTTTTGGGTTTAGTTAGATGTAATAGAAGCTTTTAAAACTTATTTTAAATTTGATTTTAAAAAAGAATTGAGAATGATGAATTAATTTGATCCAGAATAAATATCTTCAAAGTTAGATCAATTTACTTCAGAAGTCATGCTATATATTGTCTATAATTAACCTAAAATCTTTGAAATAGAATAGGAAAGACCATTAAAAGAGTTTTTTTTTAATAAATATATGCTACCAATAATTCGTCATTTGTCAACATAAGATATCATCCAACCTATTGATTCTAAAGGAATTAAAAAAAAGGAATTAGAAGAAATGATTGAAAAACAGTAGTCGTATTACGATAACATTATGAAATAGCTCTTAATTGAAGATGTAGAATTAAATTATCAATATGCAGCCATTTTAGTATTTTATATTTCAACATGCAATGATTAAATTAATTATCTTGGTGAAGGAGATACAAGTACTTATAAAATTAATCCAATATTACTCTAATAATTAGAAAAACTATCTATCAAAGATTTAGATTGTTATATTATTTCACTAATATAATAGATGAGAAATAATGAATTATATGAAATTGCCATTCAATGGACTTAATAATCAAAAGCATCTATTAACAAGGATATTTTCAAAGAGAAATCTTTTATATAAGGATTAATTAATTTTATCAACAAAAAGAAGAAATCTGATAATTTCAATTTTAATTATTAGTTAAATGATTTTTTGAAGTTATTCTAATTTGAATTTGTGAGAACAGATAAATTATTTAAAGATAAAATCTATAGAGGGGTATTAATTAAGTTATTATTTTTTTTAGTTATGTGTTCTACATATCGCCTTGAACTTTATTTCAGAAATGGAAAGTATCAAAGATTATGTAAATCCAAGTGATTCAATGTCTATCAATATTGAATTAATGGAATAATCAAAAGCTAAAAATAGTTAGTTAAAGGAGTTGTCTGTGAAAGAAATATATGAAGATGAAGTTCTTATAGGATTCAATTATTAATTAGAAATGCCAATGATCTATTAAGAAAGAAACAATATCATAAATCTTTTTTTTAATTAGAATACAATCAAAGAATTTTAAGAACTTTAAGAAAAGAAAAGATTTTATAATTTTCAAATTAATGAATTCTAAGAAGAACTAAGATAATCTTAATTTATTTTAAATTTATATTAAGTTTCAATTGCAATAAAACCAAAAGAATTACAATATGATAATATTAAATTCATTTCTTAGGAACTTAAAAAAAAATACCCTTTTCAATTTGGAACCTAATTTAGCGAACTTGTTCACGAAATAGATTTAGATAAAGATATATTTTTCAGTGATAATAATTCAAAAATATCCTAAAGAAAATAATTGACAATTGATGATGAAATTAGTGTGTAAAGTTACTTTGATGCTAAAACTTATGAATACAATATTACACTGAATATTCTTATAATGAAGAAAGATCAATTTTTTAGCAAATGTTCTAGAGAGGCTTAAATTAAGTTTTTAATTGTAATTTAAATAAAATATTTGTTAGGACGATTTTTAAAGAAAATAAAATTAATTAAAGTATATATAGAAATTTTAAAACACTGATGGCCACAATATAAATGAGTACAAGGTAATGTTGGAGCTAATTGAAGAAGAAAAAAATAGGAAAAAATAAAAAACATAATTGGATGAGGAAGAATAAGATTTACTTCAAAATTATAAAGAAAAATACAAAAATTTTTAAACTCCTCCATATTTTGCCTATGAATTAGATTGGCCAATCTATATAGATTAAAATTAAGTAGATATAGAAAATAGTAAAGTTTATGCTGATGAGTACAATTTACCCCAATTTTTATTCAAGAAACTTATATAAATTATAGATGGAGTTTTTTCAGAAATGGTTTTGGCTGAAAATGATAATAGAAAATCATCAATAAAAACTATTTTAAAAAGAGATTAAAGTTATCTAATTAATTATATATCTTTTATCGATACTTTAGTATTGTAATTTACTAAAATGTTTGAACTAACAAAAAAAAGTAAATTGATGTCATTGAATCTTGAGGATATCGCTTATTAAGCATTGGATTGGCCATTCCTAAAATACATAATGAATATTATAAAAAATAAGATTGGAAAAAGTAATTTGCTTTTTGAAATGAAAGAATCTTCTAAACCAGATGTATTATATAAAATTTTAATTATAGATTTCTATGACTTTACCTGGTATGGATGACTGCGTTTAATTATCATAAACAAATTATTTTCTTTATAAAGGGATGTTTATAATAAGATTAGGAGTGTTTTACAATAAAAAAGTTTTAAAATTAGAAAGATCTGATAATTAAAATTTAAGATATTCCTAAAATTTCCCTCTAAATTACAACTTGGAACCATACGTAAATTACATTATAAATGAAACTCAATTATAGACAGTCTTAAAAAAAGAGCAGGAATAATAAAATTGAGTTAATTAATGGAATTATTTTTAGCATATATTTTTAATTATCTAAAATTTCACATTTTATAAAAATTTAATAAATTAAAATAATAAATTAAAGTTTCTTTATTAAATGATAAAGATAGGGCAATAATCATAATAAACTCAAAAATTATGGCTCTTGGCACTTTTTACAGTTTTAACAAGGTACCAATTATTTATTAATTTGGGATTATAACAAAAGTGTATTATTACAAGAATCTTCTTGAGTTTTTCTAATATTAGATTTTTTGAGACTAAGCTGATTATCTAATCCCATTATCATTTATTGACTGATACTTTTTTTGTTTTTAATTTCTCTCAATTCTCTTTCTTACTATTTTAACAATTCTTATTGATCTCTTTCTCTTTATAAGCGTTGATTAAGCAATTTTTCTTAAAAATCTCTTTCCTTTTTTTTTTAAACTTATTCACACAAATCTTATATTAATTATCTCTATGTATTAATTTTTTCTTGTTTTTCCAGTTATAAAAAATGATGATAATCTCTTAAAGCTTTAATTCTATCCTAAACATCTTTTTCCTAATCTTATTTTGCCTAATTTATCTTTTTTAATCTTTCTCTCTCAAAATGAGTCCAATTATTATTGACATATTATTATTAATAGTGTTTTCTTTATAAAACCTCTTTTTCTCCTTGAGATTAATGTCTCCAGTAAGGATCATCAACGACTCCATTATTTTAATGAAAATTTTGCTGAGTCTATCTTTTTTTCTCTTCAATCTAATCTTTCAATTCTTATCCAAGGTTCTATAATTTTTGTAATTTTTGCATTTTTTCATATTACTCTATTTCTTAGTTTTTAAGTATAACTTCTCTTTAAAATTCTATTTCTTAAGCCTTCTGTTTTGATTGCATTTCTTGTTTCTTTAAATAATATTAACTTGATAATTATAAATTGTGCTATTCTATCTATTTCTTTTGGATTATTTATTATTTTTCAAAATTAGATTTTGACTACTCTTCCTTCAGATTGATTTCTAATTATTTTTTAGTAAGGTCCTAAAATTTAATGAAATATAAAACCTTTTCTAATTCACTTTGTTGTCTTTTTAAGTATTCTTTTTATTCATATAATTTCTTATTATAGCAAGGGCTACATAATAACGATTAAGTATTTTATAATCGTTATTAAGACTAACTGATTTAAATCTGTTATCTTGATTAACTCAGTTAAGATCTAGCACTATTGGATCTTTTAGGATTCATGGCTTTGATTTATTCATACTTTTCTCTCATCTATTTGATATTTTACATTTGATCGATAAAAATTAAAAAATAAAGTAATTTTATTTCATTGCTATCATATTTTCTTTTTAAGAAGTCTTTTCAAATTCTACCTCAGGTATTTGAGTTAATCTATAAAATTATCATTCAACGGTTGTAATTATAGAGGAGTTTTCGAACATTTCTAAAATTCATATAATGCAATTATATACAGGATTATCCCTTAAATCCTGATCAACTTCTTCATTGACTTCTTTGAGCATCATCTCTAAAATAGAAAGTTTTGAAGAAGACTTTTTGGTGTTTGATTGGTGTTTTAATTTTTCTATAGAATAGTCATTGTTAGTTGGAATTTTGGTAATACTACGCATTCTAGCAATTTTGGGATTAGAGTATATGCTTTGTAAATTGGGAGAATAGTAGCCAACAGTTGGATTTGGAGTGATAATAGGTAAAACAATTCTCTTCTGATTGATTTTTGGTCTGGTACACAGTTTTATTTGAGGCTGATGCACACTCCAAATTGATGGCTGAGATTAATGTCTGATTTAAAGTTTATTTATATTCATAATTATAATTTTGTAGTTTGTTAATGTATTATAGTGTTTTGATTGATGGTACAAGAAAAATGCTGTTAATATAGAATAAAAAGGGGATTGTGGAAATGATTTTTAATAAATTTAAAGCTCGTTTGAGAGTAGAAATTGATAAAGGTGTTGATATTATTAAAATTAAAAATAAATGGGTAATTAATGTTGCACAAATCAACCTATAGAGTAAATTTGTTGAATGATTTGAATAGATAGGATAAATAGATAGAAACAAAGCCTGAAGATATGAAGAAGTTAATGTAATAAGAATCTAAGAACGAGGAAGAACTTCCAAAATAAATAACATGTAAAATTAGATGATATTTTGAGCAATTCCTACTTTATCAGTGTAGCCATCGTTATTTATTTAGATGAAGAGAGAAACCATATATAGTACTTATTAAGTTGGAAAGTTATTGGGGGAAGGTACTTAAACTTGTTAATGATAGGTGCATATGGACAAGTTTCGATAGTAACTCATAGAGTGACAGGAATGTAGAGAGCAATGAAAGCAATACGCAAGGATTGTTTATTTGAAGAGGAATAGGCAAAGTTATTTTCTGAGATGACAATTTTGAAAAACTTAGATCATCCACATATTGTGAATTTATTTGAGTTATATGAAGATGAGAAGTTTTATTATCTTATAACAGAGTAAGTTTTGAAGGATATATGTAGATATTTACGTGGAGGTGAATTGTTTGATCGTATTCAGAAAGCAAAAAACTTTAGTGAAGCGGATGCTGCAAGATATATGAAGTAAGTAATGTAGGCTGTATGTTACTGTCATTCGAAAAATATAGTTCATAGAGATTTGAAACCTGAGAATATCATTTTTGCTTCAGATGATTAGTATTCAATTTTGAAAGTGATTGATTTTGGAACATCTAGAAAATTTGAGCATAATTAAAATATGTCGAAGAGATTAGGAACGGTATATTATTAGTGATAATTTTGTAACAGCCATATTACATAGCTCCGGAAGTTCTATAGAAGAAATACAATGAAAAATGTGATGTGTGGTCTTGTGGAGTAATTCTCTATATTTTGTTGGCTGGTTATCCTCCATTTTATGGAAGGAATGAAACTGAAATCTTTGATAGAATCTTAAAGGGTAAAATCCCATTTCATAGTATATGATTTAATTAATGAAGCTGCCGAATGGAATAAGATTTCGAAGGAAGCCAAGAATTTAATCACTAATATGTTGTGTTTAGATGTGGAAAAAAGATATTCAGCTTAATAAGTAGTTGATGATCCTTGGATAAAATAAGGATAAGAATCTAATTTGATTGATGATAATTTTTTAAAGAATTTGACAGAATTCAGTGCAAAGAGTAAATTGAAGCAAGCTTTGTTGACATTCATGGCTAGTTAAATGATACAACCTAAAGAAGTGGAATAAATACAATAATTATTTAAGTAATTAGATAGAAATGGGGATGGAAAATTATCTAAGGATGAATTGATTACAGCATTCTAATAGAAAGTATAAAGCGCAGATAGATTAATTGAGAATATGGAAATTAAAATCAATAAGATAGTCTCAGAAATAGATGTGAACATGTCTGGATACATAGATTATACTGAGTTTATTGTTGCTTGTCTCAAATATGAGAAATTGTTGACCATTGAGAAAATTAAGTAGACATTCAAAATCTTTGATATTGTATATACTTAGATTTATTTTAATTAGGATGGTGACAATTTCATCTCAAAAGAAGAACTATAACATATTATGGAAGGAGTGGATGATGAAGTTTGGAAATAATTCTTAGCTGAATGTGATCAAGATAATGATGGTAAAATATCAGAAGAAGAGTTCATCAATCTTCTATCAGATAAATTTTGATATTTTCAAGAATCATGAATAATCTCTATGTCTGCTGCTTCTGCCATACTTTCAATAGAAGATTCATCTAGTCCTCTTTTCATTCGAAATCTACCATTCTCTCCCCACTGTTTACCCCAACTATTTTGTAATAACCAATATTTTATGCCATTCTCTTCTCCCCATCCATAACACAATACTGAATGATCTACTTTTTCCTTTTTATATTAATTTTATCAATCATACCCATTCAGGTTTGGCTAATCCATTTATAATCCAATCTGGAGTTGTCGAATGAAACACTCCACCAACATAAAACATGAAATCAAAAGATGGCTCAAAATTCAAAACTACTGGGCCATTTTTATATAATTCTTCCATTATGTTCAATTCATTGGATTTACCATAAGCTCCTCCTATAAATCTATTATTTATAACTCTAAATCTTTTCTTCTTTTCTGCTATTTTACATTCACCTACCTAACCTTTATATGGATATTCTTTCTCTTCAAAAATAAATCCATCTTATTCTGTCAAATATTTTTCAACCAAAAATGGATAACCACCATCACAACCCTAATTATAATAATTGCAATCAATTGATTATTAAGGTGATAAATCAGCTTTTAAACCCTTTATTTTTAATCTAGCTGAAAGCATAGTCATTGTTGAAATTGTATAACAGGAACCACATCCCTTTTATTCATAAATCTTCTTTCCTAAGTACTTCTCCCATGAGAATTCTTTTGGTAAATGACTTAAATCATATTCCAATATCTATTTTCTTTTTTTCTATTTTTCCAATAAAATTGTAGACGAATGCTTTTTTCTACCTGCATACCTATTCAATTATTTTGTAGTCAACCCAATTATTTCACCATAAGCCTTAGCTTTCCATTATAAATTTGCTCGATTGATTTACTCAACAAAATTTAATGCATCAATTCTAGACCAAACTTTATTTATCCCTGAATTCTAGTACTAAAAGAATTAAGGCTAAACCACATGTCCATTATTTGCACCCTCAGACACTTTATGAGTCTTTTCTACTTTATATGCTCTATAACACCCTCTTTCATTCGTTTCTGTATTCTAATACCATCCAATTAAAGTTTCTCCACAGTATGAATATGCTCCAGAATAGTTTGTCTTATATTTTGAAAAAGCAAAACATTTGTAATTTAAAAAATCTACTTCAAAACCTTCATCATACACCATTGTCCATTTTCCTTGCATTCTCTTTTTTTATATAACATTGTTTTTCGCAGTCAGTATTACTTCGTATGAAAAAGCTTTTTTAAATGTATTCTATCCTGCAATTTATGATGTTCGTTCATTATCAGGTACATTATGGCCACAAGTCAATGGTCCACTACCTAGGTGAATCAATCAATTTACCTTTAATTTAAGGTTCTGTAAACTCTAATTGCCATTTTCCCACTATCTGATGACGCAAACAATGTACTGGCAAATCTGCACGAGTACTCAGAACTAATAAAAATAACAATAACATAATTAATTCGTTTTTTTAATTGATTTCAAATACATAATTATAATGGTTAATTCAAAAATTTCTTCAAATTTTCTATACCTGGTCCTTCTATCTAAGTCTCCTTCATAAATTGAACATCATCAGTTTGCTGCTACCAATACTTCAAGTTCTCATGAATCTGCTGCAAACAAACTTCTGTCACTTTTTTACTATGCAGACTTAGACTATCATGTACTTCTGCAATAAAGTAACGAATGCATTGAACATTGGTAAAACTATGGCTTTGAGAAATCCCTCTTAAGATTTTGTTACACACTAGTTTCTGTCGCACATTGGAGACACAGGTACTTTCAAATATGATTCCAAATCTCCTTGCAAGAAAAACTCCTCAATAATTCTTCTACTCCAAAGTTTGTGCATTTTTAATTGCTTTGCTCCATGACCAACATCTTTATGATAATCATTGTATGTATACCTGCACATTTGATGCAAATAGACATTAACAAGTTTTTATCAAGATCTTATGATTCTGTCAATTCTAAATAATTCTAGAATCTGTTCATCAATTAAAAATGTTTTGTAAGATCGGTATCCAAGATTAGATTTAAACAATATTTTCTAAAACCTTTCTATTCAATCTATCCCAGATTCTGAATTATATTAAATTGATCTTAGGAGAGCATTTAGAATAATAAAAAAGAATGATAATTCTCAAGCACACTTTAATCATTATCTAAGAATAATCATTCAATATTACATAATAATGCTAATTTGCATTTGTTGCTCATCATAAATCCATTATTCAACCCAGGATGCCCAATATCATGTCCTAAAGATGATATTATTAAACAAGCTTATTCAAAATCATCTAGTAATTCATTCAAGCCATTCTCCAAGAAAAAACCAGTTGAATTTGTTACATCAAGAGCATGCATCGAATTATGGTATAAATTATTATGGTATGACATATCAATTCTTATAGCAAGTTCTCCAATCATTTCAGGTTTCGTGATTTTTAAAGTTTAGGTTATTTTAAATTTCTTAAAATAGTTTATTGTATTTTCTAAAAATATCCTAGTTTAAATATTATCTTAAGATTTGTTTCTGTAAAATTATAGAAAATCTACATTAAAATCAATTCTCTCAAGTTCATCCTCCTAAACATAATCTAGATTATCTTAAATATATTCAAATGATGGCTATTTCTGTGTGAAATGAGATAATAAAAATCTATGAAATAATTTTGGTAAAATACTATTTCGCATCTACTGTAAATCCTTCTTGCTCATTTATCAATTAATTACTCCTCAAAAATTTTGGTAACCAAATCGAATCTTTTTTTCCAGATAGTAAATTCAACAGATCATCAATATCTTCTGTTGTAATTTTGACCTCCTCAAGGTTTTTTTCAGAAAATGATGGACTATTAGAATTTTCATTGTTTCTACAATTTTAATCGGTTGCACTTGTCATCATTCTCTATGATTTTCTTCTAAATTATGGAGGATTATTGTTATTTTCTATGTTCTAGAAATGATTATTAGATAAATCCTATTATATCGAACTTTATTCATCTTGAATATTATTTTCAGGTAGTTATCTAAGTGAAAAGGCATTCTAATGTATTTCTAATAACTTTTTTTTAGGTTGACGAATTCCTTTTTAAACTGTATTATTTTTTATTAAAAGTTGTTAATATTTAATTAATCTTAATTTCTTCAACAAATCATTAGCTCTAGAAGACAGTTAATATTAAACTTCACTTTCTTAATTATCTTAGAATTTATTTATCTATTCATTATAGTATTCTCTCATTAAGTCTAATTCTTTGGCAAAATCCTCCATTTTGTTATTGTATTCTGAATTAAAAAAATTTGTTCTCCAAATAGTTCCTTCAATAGCAATGAAAGCGATAGCAAAATACTTGATAATTTGGAAGACTTAATTCTGTAAATACAATTGCGTGATGAAGGATACAATAGAAATTGAATAGGCCATTTTACGAATATGAGGAAGTTGAAATCTAGTAGTAATTAGTATCAGGAAAGCAATTGTAATTAGATAATTTTGACAATGCTAAATGCTTAACAAATATTGTTATTCAAAAATACCTTTGCTTTTGATATACAAAAATAAGATTGCTGATTAGTTGAATGCTTATTCCAAAATAAACTTAAAATTTAACATTATCTTTTCTTTTTTAATGAGTATTTCTTAAGTTGTTTGCTAATATAAAGACTAGAATGATTCTGATAGTCAAATGATACTCTTGATTTTCTGGGAATTCAATTAATGGCCAAATGGCTAATATGAGAAGAAGGAGGAAAACATCTTTAAGGTTGGTTTGGTTTATATTGGATTCTTTGGTAAAGACTAAACAAAACTTATGTTTGATTTGATCATGAACTTCAGAACTCATATAAATTATAAGATAAAAATTATTTTGTATTATTATTCTCAATACATCTTTTCTAGATACATTAATCCCTCTTTTCTAGATACATATAATAATCCACTCAATTATTTGGTCTATGATGATGTTTTGGTCTAAAAGTTCTGACAAAATCAATATTAGATCTTATTTAGTATGTTTTGTGTTTGTATCGCTCTTGTAAATTTAAGAGATTGCTTTTTTTGAAATCCTAGTATAATACAAAAATTTTTACAATGAGATATTTTTCGAATAAATATTCATGCCAAAATAGAATATGTCAGATTTATGATCAATTTTAGATTAATTAAGTTTTGTATTGTTTGGATCTTCTAGTAAAGACTCAGGAGCAGCATATGGGAGTGTTTTTCCATCTCCTCCTTATACTAAAATTTAACCTCCTCTCTTATACATTGCTTCTCCAAAATCTGTTATTTTTGCAAAGTAATGTTTAGAAATCTAATATAATGAACAATGATATAAATACTAATATATTACCAGGCTCAAGATTGTTGTGTATCACACCATGAGAAGATAAATATCTTAGAGCATGAGTTATTTACAAAAGTATATATAGTCTAGTATCTAAACTTTATGTTTTCTAGAACTTAGCTCTAAATTGATCTAATGATGTATGTAGATATAATTCCATAAATAAATGCTCTTAAAATAAGGGCATATTATTCTAGTCATTTGTGTCATCTTTACAAAATTAAGCTATATATGGACAATATCTATTAAAAATTAGTTTTACATAGGCTATGATAAAATTTCCCTAAAATCTTGATTTAAATATTACAGAATTTATAATTCTACTTTATTGTTTCTTGTATGCCTAAATTTTTTTATCTTTTTTGATCACAATTTTCTTCTTTATAAATGCTTAAATATCTTTTTTAGTCAAAATTATCGGTAGACTAAATTTCCTTTATTTATTTTTATTGCTTTTTAATCTCAACCTTTTTTTATTATTCCTGATTATTTTTGCCTGAACTTTATACTAGAGAGAATGTTAATTAACTCTTTTAACTACTGAAAAGTCTCACTCTCTTATAAGTTCAGATTCTTCAAGAATATCAACCTCCTCAGGATTAGAAAAAGTTATACATTTACTAAAATAACTAAATTATTACTTCTAGATTATTTCATCCATTCTCTATAGATATAAATTAAACTATGGATGAATTTTCCTATTCTGATTTTACAATTTCTATTCTAAAAATGGGAAAACCTTAACAGAAAATTTATTTATTAAATGCATCAATCGATAATGTGATACCCTATTGCATAATGAGAGGTAAAGTGTAGCACCTTTTAAAGACTTGATACCGATAAAGTATTTTAGTTTACCGTTTATCCTGGATCTAAACATATTATATCGGTCCAATATTCTTAAATTATTATCGAATTTAATTTTAGTAAAATTTAATCAGTCTCATTTTCAGTACAAAAACAACCAAATCTAAATGAATTATTAATTCTCCAGAAATTATCTTGCAAGCAATCGCTGTAAATACTTAATAATAATAAGAAAGTTGTATACCTTTTGATCTATATAAGCCTATCCGTCACACTTTCCAATATAAGATTTGCAATCTATACGCTTTCTTTAAAAAATTATTGTTAATTTGCATAATGCTAAAAATTTATTCGAAAACCTAAGAGAAATTATTATTTTTAACTCACTATTCAAGCATTATGGTTATTTGCCATTCCTTATTTTTCTTTTTCTCAATATTTTTTGTTTTATCAAGAGCCTCACCAAAGTCGGTTATTTTAGCCATTAATGTCTTTGCTATTAAAATGTTTGCTGGTTTTATATCCATATGTATAGTCAAAATTGTGAATATATCTTAACCCCATGGCAATGTTGTGAGCAATAAAAATTCTTGTAGATAAACTTAAAACTTCTTATTGTTTGGCCCTAAAATTATCCAAAGAAGAATTATAATATCTTTCCATCAATAAATATCTTATTTCAACTATATCGGATTCTTTTTTTATTCTAACTCCTGTTTAAATCTTATCTGTTTTAATAACAAGAGACCTTTTTTGAGCCTATTATTAAGTTTAATTATCCTTTATAATCTAATAAAAAATATCTTTCGAATAAATATTGCAAAATCCTCATTCATTTATATGAAATTTTTAATCTATTTAAAATTCACTCATATTTGTTGGTAAGATAACATTTATTTTCACTTAAGACTTATTTTGATAAAAATTGAGCCATATTTTTCATATTCTGATTTGTTAAATTTCAAATTCATTAACTATTTAAATATTTAATAATAATTTACTTTTTTACAATATATTTAATCCTTTATCAGCATCTTTTGGAAAATGAAATCTAAGAGAATGAATAGCAGTCACTATCAAATTATCCAAGTAAACTTCAAATCTTTTAAAGTTAGAAAAAAAATCAGATTTATTATTTTAGCATTAAAGATTTAGGCCTCAGTGACCGTAAACTGGATTTATAAAGAAACTTCCAATACGCAAATTGTTATTGAGTCTTAGCATATATTTGCACATTTAAAGTCGAAAAAGTTAAAATACAAATTGTAATTAGAAATTACTTTTTAATGCACAGTCATTCGACGATCCTTGTCCGCAAAATAAACGTAAGTATCAATTTATTTTTTTAGAAATCTATGGTTATTTCAAATTAATTATAAGCACTCCTTAATAAATCTGTAAAGGAAATGTTATTTTTTATGTGCCTTCTCCATTTTCTAATTTCTGAGACATAGTTTAAGGGCATTTATTTTAAAGTCTATTTTTGATTTTTACTTTTCGTTCAGATGGAGAAATTATAACATTTTAATCCTTATTTCCAAAAATGAATTAATCTTTTTTAATATCGTTTTTATATACTTTATATTGCATTGAGATGGATAATTTCTTAATTTTAAGTAAAAATATCTTGGTAACCAATGATATTTTATAAAATTTTTTTAATCTCCTCTTCCATATTGAGAATTTTAATATTTACTCAATTAAGTAGGGAGATTAATTCAAAAAAACAAAATAAAAGAAATTTCTATTAACGAATAGAAAAAGATATATAAAAATTTATTAGAAGCAGCATAAAAAATTAATTATATTATAAATTCTGCAAAATATTTGTATATATCAAAAGCGGATTGAATTCGTATTATTTTTGTAAAATTATTATTAAAGAAATTAATAATGAATAGAAAAGAATGCTTATGTGAAGGTTAGCAACATAAACTTATAAATAATTGTATAAGTTGTGGTCGAATTGTTTGTTAGTAAGAGGGAGAAGGACCATGTTTATTTTGTGGAAATCCAATAATGAAAAAAGGAGAGGTTATAATTGATGATTCATAATTTCCTGATATGGAGTCAAAGACAGCTTATTCGAAAGCTGTAATGCACAAGGACAAACTATTAGATTTTCACAGAAGAGATGTTCATCAATCAAATATTATTGATGATTAAGCTGATTATTATTAGATAGTAGATGATGTTTGGTAAAATGAGGATATTCGTTCATAAGCTGTTATAAAATTGATTTAATAAGCTGATGCTGAATAAACAAATACAGTAAAGTAAGTTCTTGATTTGAAAACAAGTAAAAGAATTTTATATATTAAAAATAGTGTAGTTTAAATTGGAGAAGGAAAGTGATGCAAAATAGGCAGATGAATTTAGAGATGAAGCTTAATAGATGTTAAAGGATGCTGAAATAGAAGAGAAGAAGAAGAAGAATAGTAAGACCTCACATCTTGCAGATAATTAAGATTATTAAAAATTATACAATGAAATAATAACAAATTTAAATGAGGGAAATAAAAAAGAATCAAAGAAATAGAGTAAAAAATAAAATAAGAATGATCATAATAATCATGGATAATTTAAACCTACTAGTTGTCGAATTTAATTTAATGATGAGTACTTTTAGGATTTTTAGAAGGAGCTTCTGAAAGTAGTAAATTAGGAAGAAAAATAAGATTTATATGATGAATAATTTTTTAGAGTTGAAGATGGTATTGGATGTTTGTCAATGCATTAACCATGGGCATAGTTGGTAGTTGAAGGGTTCAAGAGAATAGAAGGTAGAATGTGGGGAACCAATTATAAAGGACCTTTGTGGATTCATGCAGGAGCTAAATAGCCAGAAGCAGAATTGATATCAGCAATAGAACATCAATATTCTTAATTATATGGAAATTTAGAAAATGTGCCAGCATTTCCAGCACGTTATCCAACTGGAGTATTAATTGGAGTAGTAGATATGGTTGGATATGTTAGGGCAAGTGAATATAATAAGATTGTGCCAAAAGAGAAATAAGAAGAGGGAGAAACTGAATTTAAATTTGTTTTTAGAAACCCAAGAAAATTGTTGATACCTATTTAAATGAGAGGATCTAACAACATTTTTAAATTAGATGACGATGTCTTAAAAATAGCAATCAAATAATTGGAAAAAGTACCAGTTAAATGGGGTCCATACTTAGTTGATCCAAAGGATGTAGCAAAAGAAGTAGTTGGAGAAAAGTAAGTAGATGACACTATGTCAAAGATCTAAGAATAATTTGTGATAAACAATATTAGTGAGATTCAAGAGAAAACTGTCAATACAAGTGGAATTCAAGAAAAACTTGGAAATATGAGTGGGATTCAGGAGAAATCGATAAATGAATCATTAAAGAATGAAAAATCAATTTAACAAGAAAAACGATATCAGTAGGTTTAATCTTTTGAGAGTTCCTTCGAAAAGTAATTGGAATGGGGAATCCTCATTAAGGATGTTTTGAAGAGAGATTAACTAATTAGAATAGCCAATTTCTTATAGACAAAGATCAAGAAATAAAATAATTAAAAGGGACCTTTGAAATAGTCATTTGAGGCCAAAAAGTAATTGCCTTGTCATGACATTGTAACTAATGTGATTTCAAATATCACTGGAAATGAATAAATATATGATAATTGCACTGTTCATTTCTTCAAAATAGGAGATAAGAAGGTAATCATTCAAAATGCAACTGCATTAATGGTAATTGGTTAAAGTATGGAGTTTATGGCCAATAATCAGATGATTCAATTGTAGTAGGGGAAAGTACTTTTAATAGAGGATGGATTCAGTTTGAATGGGTCATTTAATAGTGATTAACAAGACGATAATGTTCTTAAAGACATTAGTTAAGATTATGTGTTTAAAACCTGGTTGATATAATTATAATAATGATAAAAATTGCACCTTCTATATTGACATGTGATTTTTCGATTTTCTATGAGGAGTGTGACAAATTATTAAAGATGGGTGTAGATTGGTTACATTTAGATGTAATGGATGGACATTTCGTTCCTAATCTTACGTTTGGACCTCCAATCATAAAGTGTTTGACTTAAAGATTGCAAAATCGAACATTTATTGATTTACATTGTATGATATAAGAACCAAGAAAATGGATAAAGGATCTCTCAAATGCAGGTGGCCACTAAATGACTGTGCATTATGAATCAGATATTGGTAATATTGAAGAATTGTCATAAATGATCAGGAATGCAGGCATGAGGCCAGCTCTAGCATTAAAACCTAAAACACTCATTGATCACACTTTAATGGAGATTTTTGATAAATAATTATTTGATATGATTTTGATTATGACTGTTGGTATAAAATTACCTAATCTAAGAACCTGGATTTGGTGGGTAAAAGTTCATGGCTGATATGCTACCAAAAGTTACCTAACTAAGATAAAAATATCCTAAAATTGATATTTAAGTAGATGGTGGTGTAAATTGTGACAATGTCATCAGTTGCTATTAAGCAGGAGCTAATGTAATTGTTTCTGGAAGTGGAAGTACCTCTTAACTATAAATAAATAGTTGTCAATGCTAAAGAACCATAGCAATCAATCAATCATATGAAGGAATGTGGATGTTAACATTATAAATGGTGAATTAATCAATCATATACATTAAATCATTATTCTATTTCTCTAATTTTAAACCCTTTTTTTATCAGGTAATTATATTTCTATTGGTAATTCCCAGTCTTTCTCTCCTTGAAGTGTAAATAGTGTTTATACCCATTCACCTCTACTATTGTATTTGATTTTGGCAAAAAGAAATCACAATGATATAATCCAACCTCATATTCTTTAATATATTCCTCCTACAAACTCTCTTCATACTACTTCTAAAAACTGGATTCCTGAAGAAAGTATTTATCCTTTTTATAATTTGTTTCATGAGGTAGCATGTATTACAAATAGTAATACATTTTCCTATGCTTAATCACTTATCTTTTACAAAATTCAACAAGTCCACTATTTTCTGTCAAAGCCAAATATAACAGAAAGTCTGGGACAAGATTTTAAGCTGTTACTTTATTTAATTGTACTCTCATTGGAATCATTTAAGAGAGATTGTGCTTAGCTGCTATTGCTAATATCGATTATTGATAATTATTATCATTCTGCTTTATGTTACTAAGTTCCTGAAGTGCCTTACTTACTGTAATTGTCGATCCAAAGCGTTCCCTCTCCATATCCACAATTAATTTTCGCAATTAGAAATGGTCGATGTTCTTCTTCTCAGACAGATATGCAAGTAATTCTTATTAGATCAATCATACTTTCATCAAACTCTAAACAAAGACCTTTGTATTGACCTAAATGAATATAGGAATTTTAGATTTTAAATAGTAATGTCCTTAAATTATTCATACTAATTTATTTATAATTTTCATTTTGTTTAATTCTAATTTTTAATCAGAAATACTCCTGCAACAATAGCCAAAATCAAAAGAATAAAGAAAATAGTACTTGTACTTGAACCGCTTCCACTTGATTTTGGTCTCACTCCTTTGAAATATTGATATATTAATACCTTATATGACCCCAATTTAAAGTTTTTCTAATTACTTGAACGCACTTTGAGAATGATTTGCGTCATGAAATGCTGCGGTTGCATCATCACCACCTTTTCCTAATAAAATTGCTGGACCTCCTGGATGATCATCTTAAAAATCTGTAACATCGTAAACTTTTCCTTCTATCACCATCCATAAGTTATCCTTTGTATTATGTTATGCCAATTCCTCCCAGGTAATTTAACGATTTGGATTAATATTATTCTAATTTTGATTATCACACTTCTACTTTTTGTTTTTTAGATTTCACAATCTTAATGTAATCACTTGGTTAAGAATCCGAAGTAAGTGTTCCTACTAATCTAGCATTTCTTAGGGAACGAGCATAATTTGAATGATTCATTTCTTTAAACTTTTCAGTCCCATCCAATCCACCATATTTAAGCAGAATATCATCACCTCCTGGATGTTCTGCTAAATATGTTGTTACATCAAACACTTATCCTTCAATCACCACCCAAAGTGATGTACGATTACAATGATCTGCTAACTCATTCCATTCTATTATTCTCTTCTCACCGTACATTTTATCACAAAAATATCTATTTAAAATTATCTCATTTTCTAAACAATATTTATATCACTCTTCCTTTTTATAAACATTATCTATCTATTTTATTCTTATAAATACTAAAATATCAATTAATCTCTTATTATTTTTTAGACATCAAAATCTATTGTTTCAATCATCTTTTCAATATAATTATTTTATAATCTTTTATTTTAAACTAATACTACTAATTTATCAATCAAATTATTATCAGAAACTTTTCTCTCACTCTTGCTCTACATAAAGGACACTCTAATTTTGTTTATAACCATTATTTCCAACAATCTTAACATGCAACATGACCACATTTTTCTGATTTGCACATTATTTTATCAGGTGTATTTGACCAACAAATCACACACTTTAAATCATCCATTTAATTTTCTGTCTTGCTAACATTCTTAGTCTCAGTTTAACCAATTAATTGCTCAATTGTTATCTTTTCGCATTGTTATTCAACTGGAAAAGATTTCTTTTAAGGATTATAAATATCTCCCAATAATGTTTTATTTAACATTATCTTTCTCTTTGATGTTTAGATTTAAACTGGTTACTTAATATGAAATTTTATTGTTTAAAACTTTTTTGTCTCTATTATCTAAGTATCCTTTCTATTTTCACTTAAATTCTCTGTTCTAACCAAAGAAGGTACTTACTTTTTTATAATATTAATTATTTACTTTCACTAAATCTTTTATGAGTTCTGAAAATGTAACAACATTTGGAAAATTTTAATCTTTCCATAATAATTTTTACTAGAATTTTTCATCTAAAACTACTAAATTACATGGAGTTAATTAATCAAGTATATGTTACAATCTTGAAATGTTTCTGATTGCATTAACCATACTAAAATATTTCCTATCATACTTTAATATTTAAATTAATTACATTATTTTTTAAATTCTTTAACCACTCTAATTTCAAATTTAATTATACCTAAGGTAGTTATTCATGTCCATTCTCCTATTAATACATAAATTAACTAGTCCATGGAACTCCTAACAAAAACACAGTTACCTAACTTTAATTTTTTAATGTTTAAGGTTATTTTCGTTAATAATCTAATTACAATTAAATTGCTTCTTATAATTAATCCAAAAATAAATCATTAAAAACAGTGTAAATTGAAGGCAATGTATCACCAACAATTGAATTCTACCTGCATTTATTGAGAAATAGACGAATAATCTCGTAGATACTTTTCTTCTATTAAAAATTAGAATAAAATAAATACATTTTAATATTTAATCCATTATAATTCTTTATTCACACTAAGGGATGATAATATAGAATGTTGACTCCATATATCTTAACATTTTTGCATGAATGATTTCGAAGAGAAAAGAGTTATAAATCCATGTTCACTTAATTGATAATTAATTTATTACAATTACTTACCAATTTCAAGTATCATAGCATCTTAATTTTATTCAGTTTTATTTAAATAGTCAATATTATAGTTTTGAACTTTACTAATTAGGGCTTGATTAATTTTCAAATCATAAACAGGAATTTGAGGATAAAATTAAAAAGAGATGTTAAACTCAGTCTTATATAATTTAGATGGGTATGAATGTTAGGTTATTATAATTATATTTTAAACTCCATTATTTTGTAATTTATTCATTCCGCTAAGTGGATTTAAACATAATAGATTTAAATTGTAAGAGTTTTAAATATTATCAATAAATAAAACTAATTTATAATCCTTATAATTTTGTTGTTCAGTTGCCAAAATAGATTTATCAACAGATATTTTATCCAGAGTTGGAGCAAGTACTTAATTGCGTGATTATTATTGTTATACTATTATATCCTGTTCAGTGGAATCTGATAATTCAAAAGTTTATTTGATAAAAATATACCATTATTAAAAGAGGTATCTTTATGGTAGATTATATATTTCATCCAAATATTATTCATAGTTTGAAGAATCTATACATGGATACTTAGGTTTAGTAAAAGATCCATCTGATTTAACAAAATATTGTTATAATTAAGAAAAAAATTCAGAATCTGGGATTCTCTAAGTACATTATGTTAGAATTTAGGCAATTTTATTAGATTCAAAAATAAATTCATCCTTTTGGTTATTGAGAGCCTAATAGTTTAAAAAACGTATTACTTATGCAAATTAGACGATATGCTTTCCAAAAGCTATTATAGGCATTAAAATGTTATATTATTATTGTGTGATGGTGCAAGTTTGAAAGCTGTTGTTGGACTGAAATTATTTGGTGAATAATTTGAGTTTGTGATTCATTTATTGATCCCATTTAGAAGGAGTTTTTTAAGTTACTAAGAAAGCCTTAATCATTTAAGATGTAGAATGAGTGCTAAGAGTAGCATTCATAGCCTTTTCTAATTTAAGCGGTAAATCATGTCCGTCTTCAAAGATTAACGTGGCATTATTAAATTTTTGGAAAAACTACCATATCCTTACACATCACTTACCAGATTATCTAAGATATCTTAATGTGTTCCAACTCTAAAAGTGGTTTAATGTTTTGTGAAATATTTATGGGAGCAAACTTAATCAAATTCGAGTTATTTATGCATAGTGTTAACATCGGTGAAATCATAAAGATGAGTAAGTTATTTGTCTTTATCACAAGTCCGTTCGCATAATCGTGTAATGATGGTCATGCCTTTTTTAAATGGAGTTAGACAAAGAGATGAAATACTCCTGGTGAGATAGAAGTATTCTTCCAAATTATTCTTAGTTTGCTACCAGTAAGAAAAAGTTGGAAGCAATTAAGACCCACTTTCAAGAATTGCATTTTCTTATTTCTCTAAAATTTATTCGATATTCATATTATTAAATTGTGATAAATGAATAGAAATAAATTTGATTTTAAGAGAAAGAATAGATTCAGATTGAATTGAGAGTGCACATAATTTTATAATATAAACAAGTATATAAGTTAATTAATATTTATTTGAAAAAATATACAGGTAGAAAAATGAACTCGAAATACTTGATTACTAGTCTGCATAGAAGTCTATGTTATTTGATATATTGCTTGATTCAGTTGATAATTTCAATAATGTTGCTAATTTATGTAATGATGATGAATAATTAATTAGGTCATTTTGGATAGAAATAAGTACTCTTCACTTTGATATATCTAGAGTTTGTACAAACCTCCTGTTATGATTTGTGAAGGACTGTTAGCATTTACAATCTGCACAGATCTTGTGCTTAAAATATTAATGGAAGGAAGAGTATTATAAATTAATATTTAATATTTTTACACTTATTAAAGGAATTCTTCACAACAGGCTCCAATGTATTAGACTTTTGTGCCTTTTTATCAATTATCTTGTGTATAACATTGCAATATGAAGTATATTACGATGAGATTTATGGAATTTCCCTTATTTCTATGCGTTACTTGTCACTCACAGTTAGAATGGTAGTCCTTCTAAAACAGTATATTAGATTTCAATTTGATAGGTCTTATTTTGTAAAGCTGATGCAATAACAAAGAGATATTTTAATTTTTAAAAGATCCAAAAATCAAGATCTCAGTATCTTGGATATAAGTTCTGAAATATTAAATGACTCCTAATTTGTTGAAACTATGAAACTTGTTAGTGAATGATATTATAAATAATCAATTTTATTTCATTTTTAAATAAGATATTTAAAACCAATTTTTTTTTGTTCTTCTCAAACATTAAAAAAAATTAAATTAAAACTAAAATTCATAAGCCACTCAATATGCTTCCCCATTCTTTTCCTTATAAATTCCCATAATACCCTTATTAACCCCCTCTATACATCTACCCATAATTTCTACATCAATAATATTTCCCTTATAATTTTCTATAATGCAAACCCCCCTAATATCAATAGGCATAAATAGCAACATAAGAAAATAATTTTATTATCATCTCTGATGATGAAGAATGTGTGCCTGTTACAAAAATTGAAAAACCTGTACCTACTCAAACTATTAATATTCCTCAGTCCTAATAAAAATTAGCTAAATTTCTAGACCTTGATACACTAGAAGCTTAAGGAAAGCTATATGACTATGAAAGTTCTCCACCTCCTCCATTACCAAAAAGAATTATCAAAAAACCACAAAAACCTCTTTATAAACCATAGAAGAAGAAATAAATCAAAAATCGTAGAGAACCAATTCGACATTCTTATCAAAAGATTAAACACGTGTAAATTGGAGCTGAAAGATAATTACTTCATTATCCTTAATCAAATGTTAAGGCAAAATTCATCAGATTTTATGAGAAGTAAGATGATAAATGTAAGTATCATTTTATTTTTCATAGTTTCTCAATTATTTGAAAAATTAAAAATTAATTTTTAAGACGCTAATGATGAAGATGTTGCCATTCTTCTTAATATTGCTGGTAAAGATTATTAAAAAGCTGAAACATTCATAAATGAAAATGGAATGTTTATTCAATCATACCTCTAAAGTATTTAATTTTATTTATCTAGATTATAAGGATTTATCAGAAGACGACTCTACTATCAAAAAATGAAAACACAAACAATAATTATATATATATAATATAACATAAAATAAATTAATTTCATGAATTTCAAATGCGTTGTAGCCATTAAAACTAAAACTAATTGCAAATGCAATATTAAAATTAATGAAATTTCCAAATCATTAGAATTACCTTCTCAAGAGGCTTAATTTTTTGATATTCCGTAAATATTCCATTTTACTTTAAACAAAGCCAAATTCCTGATCATATACTATTTGATTTTGAAAATATAGCTATCTTGACTGTACCGGTACCAAAAGAAAAAACAGATGAAATTGAACTCACTGATTCATTTCAATTAAAAGACATGAAAGGAAAATATTATATTTTGTTTCTTCCATCTAAAGACATTAAATTTGAAACTAATTAATCCCATCAAAGTCCTTTAAGACATTATCTAAAATCCTACTAAACTAGAACTAAAGAGAGATAATAAAAAGCAAAGACTTAATAGTTAATTAATTAACCAACTAATTCTATAAAACATCAAAACTAAAATGAGCTTCTAAAATAGCAATATGAAACAGTTAAAGAAGAGAATAAATTATTGAAAATGAGAGAAAGAAATGATTATTTGAATGAATTAGAAATAAGCTAAGCTAAAAGAAAACAATTACAATAATTTATTTCATAATTATCTGAAGATTTAACGACATAAAATGAAACCCTTTAAGAAAAGCATAATAGACTTTCTAGTCAATTAATAGAATTGTAATAAAAATTTGATGATCTTTAATCACTTTCAATAGAATAACAATCAAAAATAGAATAGATGCATGAAATCATTGAAGATAAACAATCATCAATTTTATAATTGCAATCCTAAATTGAAAATCAAGATTAAAATAAATAGATGCTTAATCTATATGCAAAATAGAAGAAAGATCTTGAATCAGTATTGCAATAAGTTTCAAGTTCATATGAAAAGGATTTGTTGGAAAAACAATTACAAATTTAAAGATTGAAAAATGATGAAGTAATTAATTATGTAAAAAATAGGTAAAAATCTTAAAACAGAAGCAACAGGAACTAGAAACAGAAAATGAATAATTGAAATAGAAAATTTAAGTATATGAAGAACAATTATAAGGATTAAATAATTATATCAATTAATAGAAAGTTAAATTAAATCTTATAGAGCAAAAGAACTGTTAGAATTAAATATTTGAGTAGTTAAATAATCAATTAGAAAAAGATATAATCAATAAAGATAAATAGATATACACATTATAAGATGACATTGCACTTTTGTAAAGACAAATAGGATTTTAGTAATTTCGTTAGAATGATGAGCTAGAAAATGAAATAATAAAATTAAAAGAGTAAGTATCAAAATTATAATTATAAATTAATTCATTAGAAAGTGATAATTCTAAATTAAGAACTGAAAACCTTAAGATTGCAGTGCTTTAACAAAATCTTTAATCTTTAAAAATATAATACTCAATTCCAGATTTTCCTGATTTGAAGCCTTTAAACTAAAAGGTGTCTTAATTTTAAATATAAATTGAAAGTTAGATGAAAGAAGTATATAACTTTATCAAATAAATAGTTAAATAATTTAAGATAAACAATCTTTGATTTGAGTAAAAAGCATGATGAAAAAGAGTTACATAATTCTTAATTGAAAACAATGATGACATAGATTGTTGAATCGAATTAGGCTTATATTCCAGCACGAGGAGATGATTTGGATTAGTAGATTGCCAACTTTATAAATGATAGAGTTGATAAAGAGAAATATATTCCTTTATTAAAAAGACAATCAGAAGGGATATATTTATATGGACATAAGAGAATTTTTATTAAATAAGAATAAGGAAGAATCTTGATAAGAAGTGGAGGAGGCTATTTAACTATTGAAGAATTTCTTGGTTTAAACGAAAGCAAAATCAAAGATCTTACTACTGATGTTATAAAAAGACAAGCAATATAGAAAAAGACAGAAAGGATGAAAACTATCAATTGATTTTAAACATCAAATGATGTTTTAATATTTATCAAGTTAAAAAAATTGTAATTAAAAATTAGCTTATTTAATCTTACTAAATTAAAATATATGGTATTAAGATAATTAAGTAGAATTAAAATAAGATTCTAATATAATATTAATTTTTATGCCCTGTCTTCTTGAAATAAAAAAATATCTTTATAAAACGAAATAGGCTGAAAAAGGACTTGAAGCAAATTATGAAATTTAGGAATCAAGAACATGATTTGTACATCTCTAATTTTAAATGTTTATTTAGAGAGTTAACATAGATTATCCTCATCAAATCTATTAGAAATTATATAATAATTTTTATTGATGGCTTTATTGATTTTTTATATATATTTTAGACAGCAGTTCTAAAAATTTATTCAGAATTCTAAATATATCATTTTCGTAAATATTTTTCAGCTGATTCAACTTTTGATTTAAATATAATCTTATTATCATGAACAAAAATATTCTGATTCTCCATTTAATAAGGTTATGAAGATTTAATGAAAAAACAGCATAATACGAAAATTATTAAATCTTCTAAAATTCAAGGTTACCCCTTGATTTAGTAGATACTAAAGTATAATCAAACAAATTCAGCATAATCTAATTTTAATATTTTAATAGCTCGATCGATAACAATTTTTCTAGTTATTTTTCCTATATGAATTATTGTTCTTAGCAAACTACTTACATATATGATATTTCGATAATTTAAATAATTAATGAATCTTATTAATATATGAGATTAAAAAATAAAAAAGAGCTTTTTTTAAATCATTTTGAGAAAATTAAATATATTTTTATCTAATTTAATTCAAGCATCTATATACAATTTTAGAATCTGAGAATAAATTAATTGATTGTTTAGAATAAGAAAAAATCAGTCATCCCAAAAAATTCATACTTAAATGAAGATTCAATAAAACTTTTTTCTGATTATGCAATTTTTTAATCAAATCTTTAAAATTTGCAAAGAAATACTATTTTAAACGATATAAATCAAAGTCTAGGCAAATAAAACATATTATTTTAAGACAAGATTTTTATTAAATTCCCTCCATTATTTATTTAAAAACTGATAAAAATTAAAATCTTTATCTTAATCATACTTTTTCTTTTAAACTCTAATATTTAGTAACTTTCTAGAATTACTAAATTTTATCTTTAGTTAGATAGAACAAAATTTTTATTCTGAAAGACAATCTATTTATTTCTTAACATAGAAAATATTTTAGTAGTGATATATTTATTAAGCTGACGAATCCATTTTCAATGGATCAGAAATACTAAATAATAAATTGCTTTTTCTTATGCTTAAACTATGAATTAGACATTTTATAATACAATTAGACAGCTTCAATTTTTGAAGAAGTTCTATTTGATTTAGTTTGATAGAAAATGAATTTTGTATCTAATTTCACTATAAACTGAGAATTATTTCAAATTAGAAATGCAATATGAATTTTTCGTTATAATAAAAATTTAATATATTTCTTAGTACAAATAATAATTAACCAAATTTCAGTCCAACAGAAGTTTATAAACAGCTCTAATCTTATTGTGGATATTAATAAAATCTTTAGAATGTTTACAAGTGCTTTAAGTTAGATCTTAGAATTAAAGAATAAAGAATATGATGCCTCTTTAATAAAATAGACTATAATAAATTTAAGTAAATTGAACTAAATCGAAATAATGGCTTTGATGGAGATTGTGTATTAATTAAGACTATGCTGTCCAAATGATGATAATAAATAAGAGTTATTGAATGAATTATAATATCTTCTGTAAAGTTAAATAGCAGCTGATCGTACAGCTATTGCTAATACCAATAACTTCTTAGAATATAAAACTAAATGTAATTCAAATAATACAGGTGTGATAATTCTTAATCATCAAGGATAATTTAGTAAATTAGTTTATTATCTTTAGTTCTCTCTGATCAAATTTCCAGAAACATTTTAGAAATAAATTCAAAAGAAGAACTACAATAAAAAAACTTTTTCTCTCTTATCAGTAAAGTTTCTGAAGGAAAACTAAAGCAAGTTCTAAAAAATAGTTGTTTGTTATAAAATGGACAAATAAAAGATTGTTTTGATATGACCATATATTCTGATAGAAACAGAAAGAAAAGTCTTAAATATTTAAATTAAATGGCATAAATACCATTGAAAAAGAAGATAAAAAAAAATATGACTGACAGTAAAAATGAAATATTATTTTTTAGAAGATATTAAAGCCTTGCCAAAAGAATAAATATTGATGGCAAAGTATTTAAAATCAATAAAAGTAACCATTTTAAAAGTTACTATTCATATTCATAAAGAGTTTATAGATTCTTTTTCAGATTCAGATGATATTATTTTAAGTAATTTGGATACTTTGGGTTAATCAACAGTTAATTAATTAGCCATATGTGAAGTAAAAGAATTAGATGAACACATTAAATTATCTCTTTAAGAGTTAATGTAAGATCCTTATATTTGTAAACATGAAAGTATTGAAATTTAAATTATATTAGTTAAATGGAAAAAGAGAGTAAGAAAGTTTAAAGGGCAGAATTCAGATGGTGAAGATGAACTTTGATTTGTTATTTATATATAATTATATGCTTTATTGATAGATATACTATTTTAATGTAAAATAATTTAATTTAATTATTTGATCCTAATATAAATAAAATAATAAATAAAAAATTAAAAATGGGAACAATGGGGATCGAACCCATGACATTAAGATCTTCAGTCTTACGCTCTCCCAACTGAGCTATACTCCCAAAGTTAATATTAATTAGCTTGACAGGTTAATAAAATAGCATAGAAAGAAATTCGTAGGAGTATTTTGAAAAGACTATTTTCATTTAAAAAGAAAATTCGAGTAAAAAACATAATTGATTAACTATGTCTGTCTAATGGTTTATTCTTTATTAAAATTAAATCAAGTTAATTTATTCAAATAAAAAATTATTACTATTCACTAATTATTGACATTATCATTTAATTTTTTAATTAAGAAATGAATTAAAAAGTTTGGATTTGTATACCAAAAGATATAAGTTCTTTACATAATCATGAATTGATGTAGTTCACTCTTAATAAGGTGAACGGTAAACAAAGAGTTTTATATTGTTATAATAAATATTTACTATATGGAAAGGTTTTAAAAAAATAAATAATAGGTTGGAGAAACAGCTAAAAAATACTTAAAGCTAGATTTCGATATTAAATTTGAAATAATAGACGAGTAAATTATTAGAAATGGAGAAGAAGAAAATTGCTTTGGTTAAATTATTGGTATATAATTTAATTATGGAATTGGAATGATTAGTTCATAATTAAGAGGAAGTGAGAATTAAATTAAAGAGTTAAGAAACTTTTTGAGATCTAGAATAAATTAATTAAAATTTCATAAATATTTCAGAGTATTTAAGAAAATAGGAAAAGGAAATTTCGCGACAGTATAAACGATTAATTAATAAAGGTTTATTTTGCAGAGAGAATTGAGGATGGGTAATAATTTGCAGTAAAAGCATTTTCAAAATAAGTAGCTTATAATGAAGAGAATGGAAAGGAATCAATAATAAATGAAATTTAAATAATGAGGGAATTAAACAATTAACATTTAATGAAATTGTATGAGGTTTATGAAACAGAGAATTCTCTTTATATGATATTGGAATTGTTATCTGGAGGTTCATTATATGATTTGATAAAGGATAAAAAAGGATTAAAATTAAAAGAAGTTTAATAATTATTAGCAGGAATAATGTTAGGATTAGAAGAAATGCATTCTAAGGATATTATGCATAGAGATTTAAAATTAGAAAATATTTTATTTAAACAAAAGAAGTAATATTGATAATTAATAAAAGTTAATTACAATCTGTTGTTGTAGCTGATTTTGGATTGGCAACTCATGTTAATGAATCTTAATATTTGTATTATAGATGTGGAACACCAGGTTATGTGGCTCCAGAAGTGATTAATCAGAAGGATAAGAAGGAAAAATATTCATCCATATGTGATATATATAGTTTGGGTTTAATATTTTATATATTACTATCAGGAAGGCCAGCTTTTTTGGGTAAGTCATATAAAATGATTGTAAAATAAAATAGATAAGCTTTGATAGATTATTCAATAAAATAATTTAAAAATTTACCAGAAAATGTTATGGATTTATTGAAAAAGATGTTAGAAAAGGATCCTAAAATAAGACTAGATATTACAAAATGTTTAAATCATTCTTTTATAGGAAATGTTGCTAAATAAATTTAAGATACAGAAATGAATGAAGATAGTGATAATGATGATATAGGATAAATAGATGAAGATAATGATGCAGGAAAAAGGATTAATCAAATAAATTAATAGTATGATCTAGTGCTATTATAGATATTTTGTATTTGAAGCAAGTAAAAATTTGAATTCACCAAATTCATCATCAGATGATTCACCAGGAATAATTTTGAAGAAAACAACAAAAAAATAAAAGGAGATTGATTCATGTATGTATCTATCTGGTTAATCTCCTTTATTTAAAGGACGAATTGATACAATGGGAAGTGTTCATTCACTTGATATTTAATCACCATAATTGAATTAATAATAATCACCTATTATTAAATAATCAAAATTTGCTTAAAATAAATAGAAAGGGAATTAATCTATACTAAAGTATGTTACGAATAATTGATTTTTATGTATTAATAAATAATATTGGATGAATTTTATCAAATAAACTTACGTCATTATTGTTATAATGTAAAGTTTGATTAGCATACAAATTCTATGATTGAAATCGTGTATAATTGATAATAATCAAATAATTTAAAAATGTAAAATCAAATAGTTCATGAGAGTATTTCAGAAATGAAGAAATACGCAAAAGCGTTATAAGGAAATAGAAATTACGTTGCTAAAAAGACTGCAGAAGATCCAGAATACTTTAGAAAACTGGCTTAGGGATAGAATCCTAAGTATTTATTGATTGGTTGTTCTGACTCAAGAGCTCCACCTAATGAAATTACAGAAACTGATCCTGGAGAAATATTTATTCATCGTAATATTGCAAATGTAGTTGTTCCTACTGATTTAAATGTATTTATTAATAAGAATTCTTTTAGATTAATTGTGTAATCTAATATGCCATAGAACATCTTAAAGTTCATAATATTGTAATTATGGGACATACATTTTGTGGAGGTGTTAAAGCAGCTATGAAATAAGATTCTGTAGGAGGATTGTTAGATTTATGGTTAAATCACTTAAAATTAGTTTATGAAAAACATTAAGATCTTATTAATCAATTAGATGATGAAGATGATAGAGTTGCATGTCTAGCTCATATGAATGTTAGAGAATAAGTACTTAATGTATGGAAAAATCCTATTGTCTAAAAATCATGGCAAGATGGACATCGTATTTATATTTTTTATTTTTTTTAGCTGTTATGGTTCATGGATGGCTATTTAGAGTTGAAACTGGTTTCATTGAAGAATTAGAAATTGAAGAAAGCATTCCTAATAATCTATCCAAAGTTTTCCAATTAAAATTCAAGAATGTTTAACCACAAAAATAAAAATAATTAGTTGAAGAGAAAGAAGATGATAGAGCTAAATCTCCTTCAATTAGAAAAAGATTCTAAAGAATGCAGAGTCGATTAGAAACTGAAATTAGAAGATTAACTATTACTCTTTAAGATACAAATTAAGATGTTGAAAAGGAAGTTGTTGATCAAGTTTCTGAAGTATTATAGAAGGATCTTAATTTCAAAACTGAAGATAATTGAGTAATTTTAATTATATACAGAAATCAATCTATTATTAATTTATTATTATTATTATTATTATTATGAATTAAGGTAATAGAAATTGCGAAGATTTATGTATTACTTGCAAAACCGACATATTTTCATATATAGTCAAAACCTTAAAATCAAAGCTAGTTCTATTTATATGTGAGAAATGTTATAAAAACTCAAATAATAAAGATGATTATATCTCTTTGAATGAATTTAAGGAATATCAAATGTAATTATTAAAAAAAGCTCAGCCTTATCTATTTGAAATTCTAACAATTATATCTGATAATGACTATTAATACATTTTAACAGAAGAGTAAATATAATAATTAATGGAAAATAAAAATAAAGTTGAAGAAATAATAAATATATTAACTGATGTTGAAGAAGGAATTTTAGAATAAATTAATTAATTATTATATCAAATCAATTCTTATTTATAAGAAAAATAATTATTTGAAGATATTTTAATTTCTCTTAAATTTGGATTGTAAATGAAACATTTAGATGGAGTAGATAAATATTAATTTCAAAAATAGTAGATGCAATTTTTTGAAAAGTTCCGAGATTATCATTAAATAAGAACTTCTCATCAAATGTAAAATTAATCAATCAAAGAAATATATTAAAGAATATAAGCTAAAGATGATTTTCCTCTTTTTTTATAGATAGTTGGTAAAAATTTTTAACAAGTTACACATCCTAATGAAGAGTATTATGGGTTTTATGATGATAATTCAATGAAAACTGGAATTGGCTTTTGGTCTCCAAAATAACAATCATAATAGTATTTTGGAATTTTTTACTAAAATGTTTTGCTTTGGGGAATTAAAATTTTGAATGAATCTCCTACTTAATACACATTATATGAAGGGTTTTTTTCTTCTATAAAAGGAGAATAAGGTTCAAATATATAAATTAATTGTGCTGGAGAAATGTTTTCAAAAGATGAGAATGAATAATTTCATCACTATTAAGGGAATTTCTTAAATGAAAAGAGGCATGGCAAAGGCACATATATTTGGAAAGCTAATGAACAAAATGAGATAGCTAGATATTCAGGATTTTGGCAAAATAATTAATATCATGGTTACGGAACTCTAACTCTAAAAGAAGAAAACATTATCATAGAAGGAGAATTTAGTTTTGGATAGCCTGTTTTTTAAAAATGTTAAATTAAAGGTCCAAACTTACCTTAATAAACATTAAAAGATTATGTTATGAAAGAGTAAACAAAGAAATCTGAAGAAAATATAATTCCTAAACAATAATTTAATGTTAATCAATTCTTCTAACCAACATAAAATCTCTAATAATTTTAGAAAAAATTTAATGAACCTTTCAATTCCAATGGCTTTCCTTTCAATCCCAATAATTAAGCCCAATATTCACGAGATTTCTAAAATAATTAAAATGCCTTTAATTAGAACAATTATTTTAAAAAATGAAATTGAACAAAAATAGAATTATTTAGATATTTTATATTACATTAATATAAAAAGATTCATAAATCTAAACGTTTCCCAATTTTTTCAAGAAGTTATGCTTCTGTTAATGTTTGCATCTCTTCATAAAACTAATTAAAATCCATATTAATGTCTTTAAATTCTAAATATGGATTTAAACAAATAACTAAAAACCATCCTAATTACAATAAATCTTTGTAAACAGAATCAGTTTCTTTAGTTTACTTGATAGTAGTTTTAATAATTTCTAAGCTTTCTTGCACAACTTATTAATATAATTGTTAAAAGAAAGGATTTTAATCGAAGTTAACATCTAAAACTTACTTAATTTTTGATGCTCTTTTATTATCTGGTTAATCTAATTCTTTTTCAATAATTTATTTTTCTTTTTTATAAATTTCTAAATAAAAATCTTCTGTGTGTTTAATATCATTTTTAGTAACTGTTAATATTTTTTTATATTCTTGACTGATTAAATATCTGCCCCAAGTTTCTCTATCAAATTTATCTGGATTTTTAGATACTAATTGATCAGACATTCTNTACTTAATACACATTATATGAAGGGTTTTTTTCTTCTATAAAAGGAGAATAAGGTTCAAATATATAAATTAATTGTGCTGGAGAAATGTTTTCAAAAGATGAGAATGAATAATTTCATCACTATTAAGGGAATTTCTTAAATGAAAAGAGGCATGGCAAAGGCACATATATTTGGAAAGCTAATGAACAAAATGAGATAGCTAGATATTCAGGATTTTGGCAAAATAATTAATATCATGGTTACGGAACTCTAACTCTAAAAGAAGAAAACATTATCATAGAAGGAGAATTTAGTTTTGGATAGCCTGTTTTTTAAAAATGTTAAATTAAAGGTCCAAACTTACCTTAATAAACATTAAAAGATTATGTTATGAAAGAGTAAACAAAGAAATCTGAAGAAAATATAATTCCTAAACAATAATTTAATGTTAATCAATTCTTCTAACCAACATAAAATCTCTAATAATTTTAGAAAAAATTTAATGAACCTTTCAATTCCAATGGCTTTCCTTTCAATCCCAATAATTAAGCCCAATATTCACGAGATTTCTAAAATAATTAAAATGCCTTTAATTAGAACAATTATTTTAAAAAATGAAATTGAACAAAAATAGAATTATTTAGATATTTTATATTACATTAATATAAAAAGATTCATAAATCTAAACGTTTCCCAATTTTTTCAAGAAGTTATGCTTCTGTTAATGTTTGCATCTCTTCATAAAACTAATTAAAATCCATATTAATGTCTTTAAATTCTAAATATGGATTTAAACAAATAACTAAAAACCATCCTAATTACAATAAATCTTTGTAAACAGAATCAGTTTCTTTAGTTTACTTGATAGTAGTTTTAATAATTTCTAAGCTTTCTTGCACAACTTATTAATATAATTGTTAAAAGAAAGGATTTTAATCGAAGTTAACATCTAAAACTTACTTAATTTTTGATGCTCTTTTATTATCTGGTTAATCTAATTCTTTTTCAATAATTTATTTTTCTTTTTTATAAATTTCTAAATAAAAATCTTCTGTGTGTTTAATATCATTTTTAGTAACTGTTAATATTTTTTTATATTCTTGACTGATTAAATATCTGCCCCAAGTTTCTCTATCAAATTTATCTGGATTTTTAGATACTAATTGATCAGACATTCTTTTGAGATGAACATTTTAATTTTTGGAGATACAAAATATAGTTGTATAATAAAGTTCTTAATTTAATTTCAAAATTCCTTAATGTGACATCTTAATAATCTTTTAGATAACATAATTAAAGAAGAATGCAATATTTCTTTCAAATAGAAAGTATGTATTATATTTTAGCATAGCCTTACGTCTTTTTTATTCAGTATCATATTGATTTATAATTTGTAATCCCTAATATTAAAGAATAATAAAATACTTTTTCATGATTAATATCATCAATAGATGGTTTTTCTTCATTTCCATGTGTAGATTAAGGTGTAGTAGGTTCTTAAATAATTTATTCAGGTAGATCAAGATATCCAACTACTAAATTCATTTCCATATATAATTTATTCAAACTTTCTGAACGTGATAATTCATCTTTTTCTTTCATTAATTATTCTAAGTTATTTTTGATTTAAGCTTCTTAGATCTATATGATTTCATGATTGAATATTTATTCCCAAGAATATCTATCCTAAAAATAATAATCATAAATTTACTTTCTCCTATACAACTAACATATGTCTTAATAATTGTTTAATTTTATCACTTCTGACAGGTGCATCTGGTAGTACTAAGGCTGTTTTCTTAATATTCTGCAATAGACTATATTAATTGTCTCCATCCCAAGGTGGTTTACCATAAAGCATCTCAAACAACATAATCCCCATTGACCAAACATCACATTTAGATGAAAATGGCTGACCTTCAAGAATTTAAGGAGCCATATAAAGAGGTGATCCGACTCTTGAAAAATAAGCAGGATCTATTTTAGATAAATGTATGTGTTACCATTCATTCCGGTATCAATTACTCGAGCAAAGCCAAAATCAGTTATTTTAGCAACTCCTTTATGTAATAATATATTAGCTGGTTTAATGTCTCTATGTATAATTTTAAGTTAATAAAGTGTTCGAAATCCCTCGACTAGATGCTTCAAGAAAATTACTGCTTCAACCTAATAATTTAAGGAATAGGAAATACTTCACTCAATCTTCTGCCATATTTAGTAGACAAATACTTTTTCAAGTCTCCATCATGACAGTACTCTAAGAATAGATATAAATAATGTGGAGTTCGAGCTACATCATATAATTTGACAATGTGTGGATTATTAGCTTATTATAAAATAGAAATTTCTCTTTTTATATGTTCAACCATTTTAGCAGAATCCTTGATACTCTAATAGACAATAGATGTATTTATTACAGCTATTGAAATTGCCTTAACAGCCACCTGTTTGGTTTCATCATTTTTTTTAAAACCTCTATAAACAGTACCAAAGGCACCATTTCCTAGCTTCTTATTGACTATAATGTATTTATCAATTTATTTAGTAGTCCATTCTTCAGACATTAATTTGTATATAAATAATATTAGATTTTAAGGTTTAATATTGTAAATAAGTAATAAGTTTAGTGGATTGGAATAAGAATTTAATATAAGATGATTAATAAATAAATAAGATGTATTTATTATACTGTATTGATATTAATCTACTCAATAATCAGATCATTCTTTTGGCAAGATCATTAATAAGATCTTCTCTATTTCCCCAATCTCCTTAATTAATGAATGATCTTCTCTTAGCAATAAATCCTCCTCTTGGTCCTCTTAATTTAAATGCCCTATTAAATTAATAAATATAAATTAATTACCATAAAAATCTATTTGCTTCTTTGAAATGAGGTCCAACAGTTGTAATTTCATGTATAAGATCTTCAATTCCATGAATATTAAATTTTCCAAGTGATTCATCAATAATTGTATTATTTGTTAATGGAATTCTTTAACCATTAACTTTGGCATATCCTCTCTTGTAAATCAAATTCTTAATGACTGTTCTTGATGGATATCCATAAGTGATATAGGGTTCTACTTTTCTAATCATTTCAATAGTTGCTTTGTTAATTCTAACAAATGCAGCATAATGCAATTGTCTTAATTTTAAAAGTCTAAGAGTTTGTCTTACTTATGGATTCAACGTGTTGATACTAATATAAATATTTATAATATTATATACCCTCTAATTCTTATTACAAGCATCAATTTTGCTTCAGCTGGAACATAGAATCCATTCTCAGTCTTTGCCTTACGAATGTTATCAATTAAACTCTTTTCTGTTGCTTTGTATTCTGCTTCATAAGCTTAAGCATTCTTTTCTAATTATGCTCTTCTTGTTTTATTCTAACCCAATCTTTCAGCTCTTCTTTTTACTACAAGATCTCTTAATTTTGAATCTCTTTATGTTTTCTTAACAACACTCTCTGGCACCTTTTATCTAAAATTATTTTAATTGTATACTCCACTTAAATTTAAGCTTTCTTTTAAGACATTTTAAAGAATATTTAAAATCTTTAATTTTAAAAATGAAAATCACCTTTAATTTATGACAATTAATTTTTATAAATAGAGACTTCTTTTCAAAACATATTAAAACAGAATAAATCATATCTTACTCATGTTTATTAACACTTTCCAAACAAATTTTCTAATACTTTATATGGTCCTCTTTGATCAATAAAAGTATTCAATTTTAAATTACTTTTATTGTATTCTCTTACATCTATTGTTCCTATCATATTCTTAAGATATTTTTCTAAATCTAACAATTCTTTATCCTCCTTATTATCATAAAATGGAATTATCGGAATACCATTATCTAATTACCAAGCATAAGAATAAGAAGCATTATCAATTAAAGCTACCTTATTTAATGGTCGATTTGTATTATCACAGTATATTTTCAAATCTTTAGTGTATAATTAATTATTTGTGAGAGTACAACTATCACGAAATAAACGATGACTTATTATATTCTACTCTGGATCTAAATAATTACAAACCTAATCATATTATTATTCTTACTTTTTCAGCATAACAACTATGAGAAGCTGTAAAAATTATTATTTCAAAACTTTTTGATAAATTTTTTAATAATTCTTTTGCGTAAGGACGAACATTTATACCAGCTTTAACTGTTTAAGACTTTGAAACGTTTATATCTAAAATCACATCACAAGGCATGGATGGATTTTCATTACAATGCACTAATGTTTCATCCAAATCAAAAAAGAGTGTTATTTATTCTACTTTTATATTTATTTCAATTACATTAACACTTTTTTGTCAACTTATTTGATCTATTATAATCATTATTATTTTGTGCAAAAAATCGATGATTTAGTCCTTAATAAGTTTAATGAAAATGTTCTCTGTATATTCGAGAGAAGTAATCTGATCCATTGTTGTCAAATGCTTTTTACAATTTACTTAAATAATAAATTTCTATTCTTCTGTTTTGACTTTATGATCTAGGTTTCGAAGATGATGGACTCTAAATTTAAAATGGTGATATTCGAGATTAAGGAGTTAAGGAATAAGGTTTTAATTGAGATGGAATTTCAATAGTTGGATTAATTGCTAACATCTTCTTTTTAAAAGGGGTTTAAGCAATCTTAGATTCTACTCTTGTTACCAATTTATTAAGTAACATTTCTGTATCAATTTATTTTTGAATTCTCTTTTCTTTGATCTTATTTTTTAATGCATCATTATTTAATAAATGAGCTTATCCATAATCTGGGGCTTTTTATTAACTCATAAACATTCCAATTGGAGAATCAGAATGCTTACTAGATAAAGGAAATATTTTATTCTTTTTTAAATCCAAAATTTGAGAACTAGTAAATCTTCCATGTCTTGACATTTTAGACCCATTTCTTGTTAAACTCATTATTATTATATAATTCAAATAATTCAGTAATTAATCCATGAAATATAAAACAGAATAAATATTTAATTATTAATACTTAGTATTCACTCTTTACATTTAAGATAAACTATTCCATCCTTCTGTATACAGTAACATGTATTTATTTAAGACCTTAAATTATTTTATATTTTTTATAATTAAAATCTAACATTTGTTAATGAATTACATTTAATTCTAACTTAATGAAATAAATTACAAAAGTAATTACATCATGAATAAAATTCTTGTTCCTATTAAGAAGTTCAAAAAAGTAATAAGTTATTACTTGTTATTCATTTTTATTTTAAACTTCATTTTGAAAATAAAACTTTTATTTGAGTAATACACAAATTTAATTTCTATACAAAGTATTTAATTGATTCATAATATGTAAATAAAGTTTGGATTAATAAAAGTTAATCTTTTGATTAGTTTTTGTTTTTATATAAAATAATTGAATTACAATAAAAATGGGATGTGTAACAAACAAAGAATAGGACATAAAGCAATTTAATATAAAATTACCTGATTCATGTACTTTAGGAAAATATTTAAGATAATCATACAACAATATAAACAGAAGCAGATCTACCTGATTCTTAAGATTAATTCTTATAAATTGGGATGCAAGTATGTAGTCTAGGTGATTTTCTTCCTAAAGTTTATGAAGTATATAATGAACTTGGAGAATTATTCTAAAATATTTAAGGCCAGTATTTGCTTATGCCGGATCAAAGCATATATTTTGGATAAATAGTTAATGGTCAAAGACAAGGTATTGGAAAATAACATTGGCCAAAAGAAGGGAATTTATTGGAAGGGTATCGATATTAATAATATACCTTAGGACTTGGATTGATAATTAATTGAATGGAAGGGCTAGAATGATATATCCTAATGGAGATTAGTAAATAATAAATATTATAGTAGTTTTGTAGGTAATTTTCTAAATAATATTGCAAATGGATTGGGAAAATTTGTCAATTCTAAAAAATAAGTGAGTGGATTTTGGTTGAATAATAAATTGACTGGAGAGGGTACTGAAATTAGAAAAAATGGAACTATTTATAAAGGATAGTTTAGTGAAGGTAAAATTTAAGGTATTGGACAATTTGAATATGCTAATAAATGTATATACAGAGGGAATGTTTGTAAAGGAAAAATGCATGGAAAAGGAGAATTAATTTTCAATGATAACACAAGATACATAGGAGAATTTAAGTCTAATTGTATTTAAGGAAGAGGCAATTATGAAGCTACTGTTTCAATTGCAGGATGGGTAATTTATATTCATTTACTTATAGTTTCATTCCAAATTTGAAAATTAAACTTTATTTATTTATTTTTTTCATTCTGAAACACCAGTGCTTCTTGATAGTTAAAATTGTACTCTTATTGAAAAAAAATTAGAACAATTTTTTGATTGATTTAAATTATTTATCTTTCCTTTTAGTATTATTTTAATATAATTAATTATTTTATATATATATATATATAAAAGAATAAATAATATATTAATTATCTAATTATTGTAAAAATTAGTAGATAAAGACAGATTTGAATTTATTTATTAATAAAAATTATTTTAAAGATTGAAATACGATTTTAAAGAAAAGATATCTTAATTTTAATTACTTTTTTTATGAATATAACAATATAGTTTTTATGATTTTAAATAATTAGATAAAAATCATAAGAATATCCATTTATTTATTAGTTTGACCAGAAATTATGAATCATTGAAAATAATATTTAGTAATTTTACTAAATTAAATTAAAAAGATAGGTTATAAGCTTTAAATCAGTTTTTATGTAAAATAAATTAAATATTCTGGTAAATTATTCATAAAAATTAAAAAAAGCGAATTGATTTGTTGAAAATATAGAACAATCGAAAAATTATTTTTTTGTTAATTTTGCCCATTGGAATATTAGAGAATTATTGCTATTGTTGTTAAGAAGATGGATAAAAATATTTTCAGAAGCAATGTCATCTATTATATTTATTCTTCAAGTTATATGCTGAAAATATTGAACTAATAAGGTGTCAAATATAAAAGTTTTTAATGTAAATGATGGTAAATCAAACAATCTTAATTACAAATAAAGAGTAGTATTCAAATAAATAAGATTGATACTAGTTCTATATTTTGCCTATAATAAATATATTTGCGCAATTGATTCTGAGTCATTTATAGAAATTAAGAATAATTGAAAATAAAATATCTTATATGAAACAATAATTATTTATCTTCTTTTATTTTATTTTATTAAAGATCAAATCAATTGAATTACAAATAGTAAATAAATAAAAATATAGAAGGAAAATTAGATTTATGACAACATTAATGTTTTATAAAAAAATGTTATAATCTTGTTAATTTTATTAATGAAACAATAAACTCATTAAAGTAATGTGTTATAATTAGCAGCTTAGAGTTCAGAAAGGATTCAAAAGTACATAAATTCTAATCATAATTCTAGCTTTGTAAAAAGTATGAGTGTTAATATAATAAGGTATTAAAAGTGGAAGTATTCCATTATTGAATCCAGAATTACATGAATTTGTAAATCGGACACATGATCCTAATCCTCCTATTTATAATAAAAGATATAAGCTTGGTAAAATAAGAGCATAAGAAGCTTAAGATGAATTTAATAATGGTCATCTTAAGGCTGATCCATATAATAATTTACCTAAAAATATGAGAGATGAAATATAAGCTGCTGAAAAAATGCCTATGAGATATGGTAAGAACCCAAGAACAGAAAATGAAAGACTTTAAGAAAAACTGGAAAATTCATCAATTATAGATCATTCATGCAGAAATGTAACTATGATATCAAAACCAAATTGGAAAGCTACAATCAAATAAAGATGGATGAGTCAAGAGACCTTTAAGTCATAATCTGCAAATTTTAAATCAAAATATGCTTGGAATACTATTCCTTATCGTCATCCAGAAGATAACAATATTTATCTTGAATCAGATATTTCTTAAATTGAATTCAAAAAATTACGACCAGAAGTCTTAGAAAAATAAGGAAAGTTACCATTTAATCCTGTTATTAAGAAAAATCCATATACTATTTATTCAACAAGCATACGTACATATAAATAAGATGAAGCATATGGTATATAAGAAAAAACTATGTTCTCGAAAAATTCTTAATTAAAACATTATAAAAGTGCTCTAGTTTCAACTAAATCTGTAGATCATATTATGCCTTACAATCATAGTAATAATATTTAAGCAATTAAAAATATTTTTCCGAATGCTGAAAAATAATATCTCAAATCTACAGAATAACTTGGAGGAGAATTAACTTAAAAATTATAAATTTCATAAAAAGACGAATTTCAAAAACTTCGTCAAGATTAACCTTCTCCAATTCATGAATATCCTTAACCAGATGATTTTAATAATACTCATTTCGAAAAGACTAATTTTCCTATTAGATAAATTCATAAACCATTTAAACCTTATACTTAAGATGAAGCCAAATAAATTGTTGATAAATATTTTATCAAATCAAATTTTTGAGTATAATTATTATGTTTAAAATATTCACTCTCTCATTTTATAATTATATGATATATTTTTTTAATTTTTGTATAATTTTTATACATAATTATGGATTAAATATAGTCTAATATATTAAGGATTCTAATTTATTCAATAACAAATAATATTTATTCTATGAATACCTATAAATTGTTTTTTGAATCTTCTAAGCTCTATAACCTCGAAATTGTTTTTTTTATTTTTTTTCCTTTTTGATTTTTCTTATAGTAATTTCTATGATGGAAAATTAAAAAAAATAATATAAAATATGAAACTTTTTCTATTTTCTTAGTTATTTATTCATTAGCCAACTATCTTAGTTAATATTATAAATGTTTGCTTATTATGGGAACAAATTAAATAAGAAAAGTAAAAATTGTGAGCTAGTTAATTTCTAATATATATATACTTCCACATCGGTTTGAAATTTTATAACCTAATATTTAGAATATTTTTTTCTAAACCAATTAAGTTTTTAGTTTACCAGAAAATACTAAATTATAAATATAATAAAATTAGTTATATTGATATATATAAATCAATAGAATAAAATATTCTATTCTATTAATTAAATTATTTCCATTTAAGTTTAAAGGAGAGAATAAATAAAATAATTAATGTAGAGAGAATTTTCTAATTCTTAAGGCTCACAAATTAATAGTCGTAAAGAAAAAGAAATTTAGAAAAATTCAGAGATGATTTAGAAATAATCTTATCAACAAGCATAACTCTAAGATTAAGCTTTAATCTAATATTATATTTTTGAAGATTATTAAAATTTATTAAACCTAATATACTCTTTAAAGATCGTGTAGGAATATTTTTAAAATGATCCAAATAACAAAATGGTGACTTTATCTAGAAATAAAGTAATTGCTTAACTTAATCTCTCTAACACAATTCATCATGATATATCATAAACCTACAAAGACTAGAATTATAAAATATTTATCAAAAACCAAAAAGAAAAAGTTAAGGAATTGCTTAAAAAACTTCCTGAAGACATTTAAAATTAATAATATCTGCAAATGTATCAATAGAATAGTTTATCTGAAAATGTTAAATGTGATTATACACCACTCGAAAAACTTGATATTAATTTGAATTTTAATGAACATTCTGTAGCTAAAGTTTTGTAATCAATACAAATTGTAGATGAAAAAATCAATTAAATAACAACATAAAATCATTATCAAATTGAAAATGATGATTTTTAAGATAAAGCAAAGTATTGAATAAAAATATTAATAGAAAGTATTAGATTTTTACCCTATAAAAATTAGAAGCTAATTTTTCTTAAAAAAAAAAAGGAAAATAATCTATTAGGAGTAAATCAGCATAAAATAATCAAACCAAAATTAAATAAGATTATTAAAACAGCAATATCTAAGTTTAACATCAAAAAGAAAAGCCAAAAAAAATTAAGGATTGTATAAACTTGGCTGAGTTTTGATGATAATTATTCAATTATGATATTTTTACAAATTATTATAAAAAATAATTATGATGTTACTATAAAATATAATAATAAGTATAGTTTTCATTAATGAATAAGATTTTCACTTAAATTACTAAAACTGTTTTATGAAAATTTTTTTTATTTTTAAATAAATGTATTAAAATGATATAACAGCTGCATTTAAAAATTAAAGGAGAACTGATTAATTTTTTCATTAAATATAGAATTTAGAATATCCTAAATCAGCGAGATTTAATATTGAATTCATAAATAGATGATTAATAACTGGCTTAAAACTAATTTTTTTAGTATCAAAGAGCTAAGATTTATGGATTCATTAAAATATAATTAAGTTTTCCCATAAAAATATGTATGATTTTATTTTTTAAATACCAAATTTATCATTTTGATATTTCAATTTTAGAATTATTCAATCCAATAATTATGTGTAGTTTTTAAGTAATATCAATTTTTAGACTTAAAATATTTTTTTAATTTAAATTTTGCCATATTATTTTTTTTTATTTTGAGTCTACTTCTATTAGTATTTCATCATCTTTTGAAAATCCAAATTATTTATTAGTATAGTTCTCAGATTTTGAAATATGTGAGTAAATTTAGCCTTCATTATTAACTAAATAAGTTCTAAATTTAAATAAATAATTCACCCATGATTATCACTATAAAAATCAGGTAATGCTTTCTTTAAATTTAAGAATTATTTATGACAAAGCCCAAGAACTATCCATTTACATTATAAAATTTTAAAAATATATTTCTATTAGTTCATAACATTAATTTCTGGCTCTAAGATTATAAATCCTATCTTATTAGTAAAATTTTCAATTTTATTTCCATCAATAACAATATTTATAGATTTAAATTTATCTGATTCAGAGAATTTCCAATTTTTATTTAAAGATACTTCTACAGAAGGTTAAATAATTTATTATTTTTAAGAAGGAAGATTTAATTCTGCGATTTAAGACTTTTTTAACTTATTGATATCAGATTAAATAGTTGATACTTTCTTAGCCAATTCTTATAATTAAGGAATCAATTTTTATCCAAAATATTTTAATTATATTAATTTATCGATGAGAACATTTAATCCTTAAAAACTCAATGAAGAAAAATCTTCTTATTCTTGAAAATTAAATTTGTTAATATATTCACCAAGGGATTCTTAAAAGTTTCTTATTTGCTGAAAATAATCTCTTGCTTTATCAATAGTTTCTAATGATGATTTAAGCATCTCTATTAATTTCGAATTATCTAAAATATCAGCAGAATGATTATTATGATCATTTTTTTAGCATTCAAAGCAACAAGGCTTTTTATGTTAACAATTTATTTATGTGCAAAACCCAACTATAATTTTATCATGTATTTGGCATTAAAGTTAAATTTAATCCATTATTATAAATATNATTAAAATGATATAACAGCTGCATTTAAAAATTAAAGGAGAACTGATTAATTTTTTCATTAAATATAGAATTTAGAATATCCTAAATCAGCGAGATTTAATATTGAATTCATAAATAGATGATTAATAACTGGCTTAAAACTAATTTTTTTAGTATCAAAGAGCTAAGATTTATGGATTCATTAAAATATAATTAAGTTTTCCCATAAAAATATGTATGATTTTATTTTTTAAATACCAAATTTATCATTTTGATATTTCAATTTTAGAATTATTCAATCCAATAATTATGTGTAGTTTTTAAGTAATATCAATTTTTAGACTTAAAATATTTTTTTAATTTAAATTTTGCCATATTATTTTTTTTTATTTTGAGTCTACTTCTATTAGTATTTCATCATCTTTTGAAAATCCAAATTATTTATTAGTATAGTTCTCAGATTTTGAAATATGTGAGTAAATTTAGCCTTCATTATTAACTAAATAAGTTCTAAATTTAAATAAATAATTCACCCATGATTATCACTATAAAAATCAGGTAATGCTTTCTTTAAATTTAAGAATTATTTATGACAAAGCCCAAGAACTATCCATTTACATTATAAAATTTTAAAAATATATTTCTATTAGTTCATAACATTAATTTCTGGCTCTAAGATTATAAATCCTATCTTATTAGTAAAATTTTCAATTTTATTTCCATCAATAACAATATTTATAGATTTAAATTTATCTGATTCAGAGAATTTCCAATTTTTATTTAAAGATACTTCTACAGAAGGTTAAATAATTTATTATTTTTAAGAAGGAAGATTTAATTCTGCGATTTAAGACTTTTTTAACTTATTGATATCAGATTAAATAGTTGATACTTTCTTAGCCAATTCTTATAATTAAGGAATCAATTTTTATCCAAAATATTTTAATTATATTAATTTATCGATGAGAACATTTAATCCTTAAAAACTCAATGAAGAAAAATCTTCTTATTCTTGAAAATTAAATTTGTTAATATATTCACCAAGGGATTCTTAAAAGTTTCTTATTTGCTGAAAATAATCTCTTGCTTTATCAATAGTTTCTAATGATGATTTAAGCATCTCTATTAATTTCGAATTATCTAAAATATCAGCAGAATGATTATTATGATCATTTTTTTAGCATTCAAAGCAACAAGGCTTTTTATGTTAACAATTTATTTATGTGCAAAACCCAACTATAATTTTATCATGTATTTGGCATTAAAGTTAAATTTAATCCATTATTATAAATATATAAATTTCTGATGATTCCAAGTTTATAAAGTGATTTCTAATCAACTTAAAAATGCCTTTACAAAATTATTGCTGATGCTAATAAGATATATTCTACCATTCACAATTAAGAGTCAATTCAAATAACAAACTAAGAATAGACTAATATATTGATTACTTAAATGATCACTATTATAGTATAACTTCTTAATAATTTGTAAAAACGATTCGATAACTTTAAAATTATATTTGATCATATAACTCAGACTTTAAGCGAAAACTTAAATGAATTAAATGAAATTATGAAAAATCCAAATGGTAACATTTTAAAAGATAATTTGCTTTAATAAATTTAAGAATACTATGATTATTAAGAGAAAAATAACTTTGTATCACTTGAAAATAAATTTGGTATATTCTAAAATAAATTTAGGTTTAGGATTATATCAAGGAAATAAACTTTTAAACACTTTTGAAATTTTAGATACTGAAATTATATATTAATCAGATCATTAAATATTTTTTAAAATGTTTAAACAAGGTATTAGAATTAAAATTTTTAAGAGATTGAATTATTAATTAATTAAAGATATGAATAAGCACATATTATTTTGGAATAAAGAATAATTAAAATTAAGAAATTACTCTCTTATAGTTAATATTTTAAAAGTATATCATAATTCTATTAAGGCCTTTCATTAAGAGAATTAAATAAACCAGGTGAAGGAACTTAATTGAAATAAAAGGCTATAAAGAATAATGTCCATCTACTTGAAAATCTATTCTTAGAAACAGATTAATTCATAAAAAATAATAACTCGAATAAATTTATGGATTTGTTTTTTTAATGTATAGAAAAACTTTATGAAAAAAGGTTTGACTCTAGAAGATTAAAGTGAATTTTAAGTAGCAATTTAGATTTGTGACTAAATTTTACAAATAGATTAATAAAACATATAAGCATTATATAAAAAAGGTATTAATATTTTTAAATATTAGCAAAGTTCTTAGAAAATTAAAATTAGAAAGATGAAGCTCTATAATTGATAGATGATGTTTTAAAAATTAATCCTAATTATGTGCTTGCTCTTAATTTAAAAGGAGAAATCTTATAAAGTAAGAGTTGTTTTGAAGAGTCAATTAAATATTTTGTAAAAGCATATGAATTAGATAATCTATTTTTTACTGCTTTATATAATAAATGTAATTAATTTAATCATTTAGGTGATTGCTTATAAGATTTGGAAAATTATGAAGAAGCTGTTAGATGTTATGATTAATTAATAAAGATTGATTCTAAGAACTATTTAGCACATTATTATAAAAGTAAGTAAAATAAGCAATAAATTAAGGTATAGCATTGACTGAACTTTAAAGATATACAGAATCTTTGTCTAGTTATGATAAAACTATTTTTTTAAATCCTAATTATATTCCTGCCTATTACAATAAGGGTATATTCTTCATTGATCATATTTAGGAATTGTTTTAAATTTTTTAAAAAAGAGCAATGAAGCAATAGATTGTTTTGATAAAGTTATTTCAGTTGAACCAAATCATGCCAAATCCTATTTAAATAAAGGTAATATTAAAAAAGTTACTCAAAGGCTATTCATTATGTGATCTTGGATAATTTAATGAAGCTTTGTATAACTATGATAAGGCTATTTCAATAAATTCTTAGTTTATTGAAGCATATTACAATAAAGGTATTTAGAATATCAATTCCAATAGGAATATTATTGGATGATTTAAAGAAATTCGAAGAAGCAATAAAATGTTATGATGAAGTTATTAAACTCGATCCAAATGATTCTTAGTCTTATTATAATAAAGGTCTAATTAATGATAGATTATAATAGCAATTTCTCTACAAAATTTAAAGAAAGATGATGAAGCTCTAAAATGTTATGATTAGGCGATTTAATTAAATATGTCATATGCTAATGCTTACAATAATAAAGGTTTCATCATTATAAATAAATAGGTCTATTGCTAGAAAAACTAGGCAAGAAAAAATTAGCAATATAAAATTATAAAACCGCAATGAAAAAATGTTCAATAGACTAAAATATTTTTTCAAAACGAATTAAAAGATTAAAAAATAAATAATGATTGCTCATTTGATAAAATTTATATTCAATTATTTAATATCATTTATAGAAAAGTATATTTGTTAAAATTGAATATATTAGTCTAATATTTGCTTTAAGTTGAAGACTTTAAGGTATAATTTTAAAATGAATCTTATTTTATGATCAAAGGAAGGAAATTCTATTTGATATCTTGAAAATATATTTATTTTTTAAGTATAAAATTTTATAAGAATTTAAATAAAAAAAAGTTGTTTTTGAAATTTATTATGGATTATTTAATTATCTAATAAAATTTTTTAGATTTTTGAATAGTCTAAAAATAAATATATAGAAAGTAAGAATATTAATTATTAAAATCATCAATTCTAAATTTATTATAAAAACTTTATTGATAGCTCATGATTTTATTTTAAAATTGAAATTCAATTATTTGGATCTATATATTATTATTATTTGGCTTAAATATTCCTGTAAATTGATAGCTTAGACTCAGATAAACAATTATTTTTTTTTTTTTTTATAGGCGATAAATTTCGAGATTAGCATTCATCTTTAGAGTCATGATTATCGAAAGAATCTTCAATTATAGTCTATGATTAATTATCCTTTAAAAGTGCTAAACTTAAGATAATTTATACTTATATCATTTTCTTCAGTTTTTATATTAGCATATACTTATTAATTATTGATAAATTTATTGGATAAACTCTCATTTTCAAGAGATATAGATATGTTTTTGCTATTATTTTTTACTCTCAAAACTATATTGTTTTATTAGTATTCTTAAGACTTATCTAGCAACTATGTTATTGTATTATAAAAATTATCGAAAATTTTTTAGTATAGCTGCATTAATTCCAAATTGTTTTTAATTTATTATTTTAGATGTGACTCAGTCTATTTTGATTAACCCCATAAAGGTTTATATGAATTAATGAAATTTTCTAATTAGGATTTAGTGCTTTGGATTTAGTTTTTCAAGTGTTAACTTTTTTATTATATCAAATATTTTTTTTTTTAGGCTTCTTAAGATTAAGGGTTTTGTTTAAACATTATTAAGTATTCATCGATTGTTTAATTTAACTCAAAAGTTTCTTCTTTTATTCCCTTCTCTTTTTATTTTATTTATAATAATTTATCGTTATTTACTTTTTCTACTTAAACTATCTAATCATGCTTTATTTCTAATTTTATAGCAATCTCTTCTAAAGCATTAGCACTAATATTTTTAGCTTCTCTTAAAGTTTATTAGAAAATTTCATCTTTTTTTTTCATTTATATCTGGATATTTTCTATATTTTATTATAGATTTCTTATATCAGCATCTTTGCTAATAATTTAATATTTATATTTTTGAATTTGTTCTTCATATAATTTATTTTTCTATTGTTCTTCACTTGTATATATAAATTATAAATTAATTACTTGATCAATTATTAAAATTCAATTATTTTTTTATTTGTATCATCGAAATCTTGTTATAATTTTCTAATTAAAAATATATTTTACTTCTTGTTTTTTTATAAAGTTTTATATTACTTTTTAAATTTTTCTAATCCATCATCCTCTTATTACTATTTTATAAATAAATACTAACTTTTGATTCCTAAATAGAATTATGAGTTTTTAGCTCCTCATTATGCTAAGGAAACATTAGATTTAGTAATTTTTTCAAATTAGGATATTCTAATTTTAATCTTTCTAAGTCTTCTTAAACTTTGTTTAAATATTGCAATCCATTCTCTCCTATTGTCTCCTCAATATTTTAAAGCATTTTTATAAAATCCTTAAAAATAATTGTTTGTTAATTTACTTATAATCCATTAGTTTTGATTAATTGTATTGATTTTTTGGATTCAACCTTGAAAATATTTTTCTCCTAGATTTTACAATTATTTTTTTATTATTCCCTTTAATTTATTGGAGATTTATATTGCAAACAATTCTCATTCAGTTAGTCTAAAAACGAATACCTTTCAATCTTATTGTTTCTCTACTTTTGTTTTTCCATGCTTTAAATATTATTTAATTTTATATTTACATTAAATCTTAAAATATAGAAAAATATATTCTATTTATTTTAGGTATCTCTAATTTTAGTTCAAACGACTTAAACTCGAAAATTAACAATTCATGATTTTAAATTAATTAAATAATTTCAAAATTTAAATAGAATGATTAGAAATTATCATTAATTATTTATCTTTCTTAAAATCAATTGAAATTCTCTAAATTAATACTATTAAATGTGCATATTCAATCTACGCCAATATATCAAAACTGGACTTCTAAACTACATTGTTTTATAAATTCTTATGGAATTTTATTATAAATTGTGTAATCGAGCACTTTATTTATTATAAAACATATATAAATTCCTTCTTTAAGAAATCTTGAAAGTTTTAAAAAATCACCTATTTAGACTGTGATTTTTTGTGAAAAGAATATTTTGTTTTCAAACTTGTAGATATGATTAAAGATACCAAAGTGAGAGTAGTTAACATAAGTAAGTTGTGGTGATTAATTTCTAGAGTTATAAAGGGACTAAAATAGAAAAGTGAAAGTGGGGACTTTAAGAAACTTCTCACTGAGCATAAATGAAACATGTGGAAAAATAAGCTTAAAAAGAACAAAAAAATTATTCAGTATTAAATTACAATATGTAAAATATAATATATATTTTATTATACTTGAATATAATTATAATTTTACTTATTTTAATACTTCATTTATTAATTCATGTAAAATCGATTATAAAATCATATTTACAAATATATCGTAAAAGATCTCTTATTATTATTATTAAAGTTTTATTCTTATTAATTTATTAGCTAGCTTAGAATAAACTTTATAAAGATATCTTTATTCATTTTTATTGTGTAATTTGATTTAGATTTTTTTACTTATCTTTTAAATTTAGAAGAAAATTATCAGAATAAATAAGTTATATTGAAAAAGATAATCAAACAAAAAATATTAATTTTAAGATTCCTTTTTAATCTGTATAATTTAATATTTAAAAAAGTCTTAGAATCTTTAAATAATTGATGATAAAAAATAATAAGCTTTATTATTTAAAGTCTAAATTTTTTAATTAGCAGCTTTGTATTATTGTGTATAATTATGTGTTGATTTTATCAAACCTAATATCTATTAAGAATAATCTTAAATTATTTTATCTTAATTAATGATATAGTTAGTTTGCTGATAAAAGTAAACATTAAATAATTTTTATATGTTTAGTCTTCAAGTTCTTCTCTTATTGTTTTCAATTTGGTCAAATTTAGATAATACAAATTTAACTATCGTGCAAAGGGTTAGTATTTGAAATTGAATTTTTGAAGTAAATGAAAGAAAAGAAAACAATAATATAGAGATGACATTAAAATGAAAATGTAAAAATTTATATAATCAATTCACATCTTAGTAGTAGATTTTGAAACTTACTTTCTTAATATAGAGTTATTCAAATGAAAAGAGCACAAATTTTAGAATTCTTAAAAAGGAATTTTAAATGTAAAAAAAACAATAACAATATAACCGAAGAACTCATAATTTTAAATTACCAAAGTTCTTTTAAAACAAAAGGTAAAAATTTTCAGGTAACTGATAGTTGAAGTGTTTACAGAGTCTTGATCAAAATATCAATTAATTTAAGGATTTTGTAATAATAATGAATATTATGATTAAGCTAATTAAAATCTATTCTGCAAAAATAACAAGAAAATGAAGAAGAAATGTTAAATACAAACTCTAAAAGTAATCAAGGACATTTATTTATTTTACAACTATAAAAAGAATTTGAATATGTCACTTTTTTATTATTAATATTAAAATTTATTAAAGCCTCTTATTTTTATAAATGGCTTTGTTTATATTTTTTGTTCTTCTTGGCTTAATTGATGTTTCCAATACTTAATGGAAAGCTTATAACAGTTTCTTAAATAGTAATTAGAAATTTACCCTCTCAACTTCCTCTAATTATGGATACGATTATTCAGGTGGTTTTACTTTACCATCGACTACAAATTAAGCTTAATTCATTACATGCACAACACCTTCAACAAGTTATATCACTTTAAATTCTACTTAACCTTAAACAGAAACTTATTATTCTTATGTTTATTTAATTGGAAGTTTTATAAGCTTTGATTTATATTTTTAGGGTACATGGTCAAATTAAGATGTAACTTTTACTTTAGGGACTTTTACATACACATATAATTATAATTCACCTACAACTTATCCAATAACAAAAGGATTTTGTGATAATTTAATTGCTGATGTTAAATCGATCAATTTTACACTAACAATTACAACATAATAGAAAATTAAGTTCATTTCTACAGGTTAAGGAGATGCATAGGTTTCAATTAAAAATTTATTTTTCTCCCATTAACTTCAATGCTATCCTTCATGTAATGCTTGTACAGGTCCAAATTTCAATGAATGCACAATTTGTTATTTTGGATCTATTACTGATAATATTTGTCCACCTTGTCCATCTAATCAATATTATATGAAATATGTAGGATGCAAAGATATTTGTGACATATACTCTCCATTATATTATAATGGATTCTGTTAAAGTTATCCAGGTAAATATTTTGATTTTTAAATTTATTAGTTTAAACAATAGCATCAAATTACATTTTATCAAAACCTTTCCATTCTGAAAATCTCAAGTGGTCTATAATATATGACCCACTTCATATAGATGTATCTCCAAAAGTTAATTATGAATACTATTATTTTTATGGGATATTCAGGTTTAATTCTGGTATTTATAGGTTTTTTTATCAATTATCTACTTATTCTTATTCAACTTATTTAATTGGGTTCAAAATTACAATTGCTCTTTTTGGTGATATTCCATTAAATTGTGGAATATAATTCAAGATTAATAATACTTATTAGGCTTCCATTTATAGAAATGATTAAGGAATTCAAACGCATAGGTTAAAAATCTATAAAGTTACTACATATGAGGATTCAAATTATACTTCAAACTAGAAATATGATTTAATTACTTATTTGGACATTCCTAAATCACCATTTTTATTTTCTGCTGTTGGAAATTATACGTAAATACTAATTTTAATAAAATTAGTGATGATACGGCAGGATGGGGAATGGTTTCAATTGAATTTACTTCAGGGTATTGTTGTAAATATTGTAAATTATGTGAAGTACCATTTAAATGTATTTCTTGTATAAATGGATTCTACTTATATAGGGATGGTACATGTATTAATGGTTGTTCTTAGCCATATCAGAAATTAAATGGAAGTTATTGTTATGATTATGATGATGAAACACCTTGTATTCATATATTTATATATTTAGATTCTAAATATTTGATTTAAGAATATATAAATTCAGCAACTGATCCTGGATAATATTCATAATATACAATCATTTCTCAAACAGGATTAAACTTTTTAAAAGGATTAGATATATATTATTCATATTGGTAAGGATATAGAGTTTTTGGAGGACCTTTTGTCTGGGCTTAGGCTCAATTTTAAAGAATTCATAATATAATTGATCCACACCATAGTATCACTATTGCATTTTACATCCTTTATGGACCATAATTCCCAAGTGATGGAATATTTAAATATACAATTGAAAATAATTCACAAGTCTCTAAATCAACTGCTAGTGTTTTTTTATCTTATGCTGATGGGACAAAAATTGATAAAGTTTATGAGAAAATAATTCATAATTCAAATACATTAACAATTACTTGGGAATGTTTTGGTTAAAATAACGAGCCAATTTATGCTTATTGTGGATTTTTTAATTATTATATTGCTGTTCATTATTGTTAACCTTATTGTTTAAAATGTTCAGATTAAAATACATGTGAAATATGGAACAGCACATATGATTCAACTATCGTAAAATTTTCTTAAGATGAATGTTTAAGTTATCAATATTTTGATAAAGATACTTTTAGATGTTTATAGTGTCCTTTAACTTGTTTAACATGTACATCTAAAATAGATTGTTAATTATGTTAACCAACTTATACTTAAACTAAATAAGGATGCGTTTGTTTATTGGATCAGTATGAAAATTTAAATCAATGTTTAAATTGTCCAAATGAATGTAATTAATGTTTAAGTTCTACCTATTGCGTTGAATGTTTAATATAGAATAATAGATAATTGAAAAATGGAGAATGTAAATGTAGAGATGGATATTATCCAATAGAAGAAGATCCTTAATGTTAATTATGCCACCAATATTGTAAGACATGTTTTGGACCTACATCAAGTGATTGTTTAACTTGTTCTGCTATTGCTAGAATTGAATAAATAGAATCAACATGCAAATGCCCAACAAAGACTTATTATTCAGATGCATTATAAAAATGTTCTGATTGTTATTATTCATGTTAAACTTGTTTTAGTTCTACTATTGATGGTTGCTTATCTTGTGATCCTTCCTAAAATAGAATATTAAAAGGATTGATTTGCGAATGTGCATCTGGATATTATGATGTTTTGAATATTTGCACAGGTATTAATTTATATATAATTTAGAATGTCCAACAGCTTTAGATACAAATTAAAATTAATGTTATAAATAGTGTAATAATAATTAAATATGGCATACTATTACTTGTGATACTTGTGCTTCTGGATTTGAATTAAAAGTTGGATAATGTTACCCTATATGTGGAGATTTATAAATAACAGGATATGAATAATGTGACGATAATAATACTAATTTATGTTTTAACTGCTAATTTAAATGTCCTATTCATTGTTAAACTTGTGATTCAACAACTACTTTACCTTGTCCAGATTATTGTGGAGATGGAATTATTTCAGGAAATGAAGAGTGTGAAGATGGAAATAATATTTAATATGATGGATGCTTTGATTGTAAATTTTAATGCTAACTTGAATGTACTAAATGTATTAAAGGAGAGTGTTTTGAATGTGCAACTAATGGATGGTATATAGATCCAACAGTCTCTCCTTGGATTTGCAAAGAAAGATGTGGAGATTTAATTATAATTGGAAATGAACAATGTGATGATGCGAATTCAAATGATACTGATGGTTGCAAAGATTGTAAATATTTTTGTAGAATTGGTTGTTCTTCTTGTGATTACAACACAAATACTTGCTTAAGTTGTGAATTCCCAGGGTTTGTCCCTTATTCATATTATTGTAAAAATGATTGTGGAGATGGCTTAGTTGTTAATCATTATGGATTTTTTGAAGAATAATGCGATGATGGAAATACTATAAATTATGATGGTTGTAGTAGTTCATGTTAATTTTAATGTTAACCAACTACAATATGCATTAATTGTATTGATAATAGATGTGTAAAATGTGATTTTGGATACTTTCTTACAAGTGATTAAATATGTAAGCAAATTAGTTAATCTTCATGCCTTATTAGCAGTACTATTAGATTTGGTTGTGATACTTGTAAACATGGTTATAGAAAAGTCGATTAATAATGTTATTCTATCTGTGGTGATAAATATGTAACAGATGATGAATAATGTGATGATGGTAATCTAGTTTATGGAGATGGTTGCCACTTTTGCTAATTTTCTTGTTAGGATTCATGTCTTAATTGTATTAAAGGAACCTGTTATGATTGTTAAGACAATTATGAATTAATATAATCTTAATGCTATCCTAAATGTGGAGATGGAATTATCGTTCCATTTTTAAATGAAGAATGCAATATTCAAAATCAATTGTGTATTAATTGTTAATTTAATTGTTATCCTTACTGTCTTAAATGTGATTTACAATGTCTTAGATGTGAAAATGGATTTAAGGTTGATTTCAACTATTCTAATTAATGTATTCCTATTTGTGGTGATGGAATTGTTATTGATGATTTTGAAGATTGTGATGATCAAAATGATGAACCATTTGATGGATGTTTTGAATGTAAATTTTAATGTCAATAAAATTGCCAAGAATGTTTGGATGGCATTTGTTTACAAGAATATTGTCCATCTGGAACTATTTGGATAAATAATTCTTGTTTAAAGTTATGCATTGATAATTGCAATATTTGTGAAGAAGAATAATGCATATCTTGCATTTCAAATTACTAATTAATTGACAATTAATGTATTTTACAAAATTATACCGAAAATAATCAAATGAATGAGGGAAAGAACAGAATATAAATTTATGATAATTAATTGTGTCGATAATCTGAATGTGTTTTATCGAAGAGTCCTCAAATGAGTCTACTTTATTTAAATTAAACATTTTCTATGCAATATGTTTAAATTAATTTTGATTAATAAATTAGTTTATTAAACCCTTAAGAAAAGTCAGAGTAAATGTTTAAAATAAGCATTCTTCATTTAAATGAAAAGCACTATGTTTTAACACTTTACCCAATTTAAGATTTAACACTGGATTTATAATTTGTTTAGTATGAAATAGCTATAGAGTTTTTGATATCACTAGAAACATAACCTATTTTATAAGTTTAACTTAATCATCAAGCAATTAATTCAAATTATCAATAAATTCATGATTATAATTAATCGATCTAATTGTTAAACCCAAAGTTCATTTCTGAATAATTTAAATAGTCTTCAGTTAAAATGTAAAAATCTAACAAAGGATTGATGATAGGAGCAATTTCTATAAGTGTGATTTGTTTATTGTCTGGAGAAGGATCCATATTTGTTGAAACTCTTAACTTTTTGTAGTATCAATCATTTTTACGATTTATAAATGTTGATTATCCAGAAAATCTCTATATCTATTATAAGGCATAAGAATTATTAACAATAGAGCAATATATTGAATTTCTTGACATTCAGGAATATTTAAAATATATTACATTTTAAGAAAAATCAATTTAACCAAATGGAAAATTTTAATTATATAATTTAGACGCAGATTTTGTCTCATAAATATTACCTTAAATTTTTTAATCATTAACTTTTATAATTTTGCTTTTAATGAGCAAAAAGCTTTATTTATTGTTTTAAAAATCTCTAGTTCTAATACTAAATACATTCCCATAATTTTTTGAAAACAAATAATCAAAATTTGCCTAAATAATTTTAAATTAAATTCATAGAATAAATAAAAAATTAAAATTTTGTATCCACTGGTTTTTCTCGCTCTCACTAAATACTATAAGAACCTTTTTCTATTTTAATTCATGGGATGTTTTGTTTAAAGCAATTTTATTTCTCAAAAATTTTCGAAATAGAGACATTAGAGCTTTAATATCAATTATATTATCAGGATTGGTTTCAGGTTCTTATATTTATTTCACACTCTACACATTTTATTAGTATATTCCTAAAAAGTAAAATAATGATAAATTCAAATAATAACTTAAGCTTATGGCCTTTGAACTTTGTAGAACAATATAATTCCATATTTTTATAATAGTATTTTAGGACGAGCCAATTTTATAGTGTGTATTCTTATCAATGAATAACATTTTATAATGTATCATTATTTATAAATATAAATGCTGCCATAAACTTGAAAAAATAATCTTAATAGTAAATGAAGGATTATTATCAATATATACATTTACTTAGTTGCTATATTTAAAGATTGCATATTTTGATCTTTCTTAGAAAAGCATTTTATTTATTGGATTTTTTCATATGTGTATTTTACTTTTTACTTTAGGAGTTTGTTTGATTAAGGAATTTTTGCCATTTTTTGTTAATTTAATAAAATTTATCTTGAAAAAATGAAAAAGATCTACTGATAATTTTTTTGAGACAATTATATTTTGTAAAAATATATATACAATTTATGATAATATATAGTTTTTTAAATAAAAATTAAGGAAGGTTTTTTTTATAATTTATTGACTGAATTTTTTATAATTCTATTTTAGAGTATTACTAAGTATATCAATTTTACAGATGAAGAAAAATTATTCAACTTTAAGCGACAATAGACTATTTAAATTCTTATATTTTCTTCTCTAGCAAATCTTTCTGTGTTTTTAAATATAAATGATTATCTGATTTTATTTATGTTTTAGAATTTTCTTAAGATCTTTTTATCTTTTTGGTTATTCACCACTCATTCAAATTTTAGATTTCAACTCGTTAATTTAGAAATTTAAACTGAAAATGTATTAATCCTCCTTTTCTCACTTTTTTAGCTCTTGATGTTTCTTTTCATTATATTTGTTAATTATTTAATTATTTAATTTTTTTTTAAACTCAATTTTAGTGTTTATTGATTAGTCGCTAAATTTTTTATGTAGCTACAAGCATTCAAATTCATCAATCTTGTAAATTTTATATTTTTATTTCAAATTTATATTTTGATATATTTTAGGTGTCATTAATTCAATTATTATCTTATATTCTTTTATAAAAAAAGGATTAATTTATCCTAACATTCAGGTATATCAATCTATCTTTTAGTTTTTACCTAGGTAAATTTTAATTGCGAGTTTATTTTTTAGTATCTAATTTATCTTTGAAGTATTTAATTAAATAAATTAAAAATTTTTCTTATTTTAATGTACATTTTCAGAGATCAGATTTTCTGAGTTTTATCCTAATATATACAGTATGAGTTTTTTATTAATAAAACAACAAAAATTTGAGACAGGATAATCTAATATAAGATCTAATTCTTTTCCTTTTTCTTAAAATTGAATAACTTATAAATTTTTTTTTCTCTATAATTTGATTTTGCTTTATATCAAAATTATTTTTCATTAATCTGTGAAATACTTATCAAAATACCAAGCATCTGTCAAAAGTAACTCAATATTCTAATTCCTTCAGATATACTTGGATTAGATTGTAGCTCAACCATTATCCTATAAAATTATACATAAGATAATTCCAATATAGTTATTAAATTAAATTTGAATACATAAATGCAAAAACTTAAATATAAATAAATTCTTAATTAAAAGCAGTAGAAATTAATTTATAAACCATTTTATAGCTAATCAACATAAATCAAGAATAAGAATTGGTATTCTAAGCGGTTATGTAACAGTTTTCACAATTCCAATTAATTAAATTGGCTATTGTTTTTGACTGTATATTTGATACATTAAATCAGAGCTATTGATTAATTAATTAAATCCTAATTAATATAATAATATTTATTCAAAGTTGATAAAAAATAGTGATTTCTTAAATTCAAATTTAATTCTTATGTCGTTTGGAAAAGTAACAAGATTTATTTGATTGTAGTTGAATTAAATTATAGTATTCGAAATTGAATTTGAAAAAGTAATAGGGTATGATATCCTATCTATCTTATTTTCTTAAATTAAACGAAGATGTAATATGAACTCTTAAAAACTAATTTCATTATAATCCTAGTATTTAAATTATGCTTATAGATATCCGAATCTTTAAAAATGATAAAGTACAACCTAAATTATGACGATAATGTATAATGTTCTAAAAAAATGATCATAATTCTAATAGAAACAATAGTATAAAATTAATAAAATTGGATCAATTATAATCATTAATCTTGGAATTTTTCAAAGAATTTATAAATATAAGTTGAATTTTCTGAAGTTATCATCAATAATGAATTTTCTGAAGTTATCATCAATAATGAATTTATTTTCTATTAAATTTATATTAATAATTTTATTTCTTCCATAAATCTTTCTCCAAAAACATAACAGAACGAAAAACAAATAATAAATTTATTTTTACTTTGAACTCTAATGGTTTATAATCAAATCTAAATATATAAGATTGAATAAATTGTAAGAATATATAAAAAAATTTTAAAAATAATTATGTAACCCATATATGATAAATTTTAAATAATATCCTCTCTTTTCTTGTTATATTTATGGGTTTAAAATAATACTATTGATTAATACACGATATTATTGTATATATAAGATATAGTGAACTTATGGATGATATTGAATCTAATATAAACATAAGGAGCTGTAAAAATTGTTAAATCAATTAAAGAAAAGCAAATAAAAAAGAATGGATTACACTGTGATTTATCCTGGAGAATTAAATCTTACTTATAGCTTTTTTAAGAATCATATAATTTAATAATGAAAATAAATGATGACAAGTTATCATATTATGTATCAAATAAATGTGTTTATTAAATCATAGGATCAAAAGATATTAGGCAAATTATAAAATTCTGAAGAAAGTTATCAACGCGTATAATTATAAATAAACTTTAGTTCTATTGAAAAATTATCAGGTAAATAAATCAATTACTTTAAGATATTTATATTATTAAATTCAATTGAGTTTAAATGATAATAAATTACATGAAAGTTATTTGTTGAATAAAATTAAAAAAAGTTATTAACGTTAAGAATTTTATTGATGGAAAATTTTAATTTAGCAATATTTAAAAAAATATTATTAAGAACAAGTTAAATCTTCTTTTTTTCAAACATAATTTTATTTTTTGATTATATATATAATTGAATTCTTTTATTTATTTATTGGAAAACACTCAATTAATGAGATACTTTTTTTTATTATCAATTTAATTCAATTTATTCTTTCAAATAATATTTGATATATATGATTAGATTACTGAGAGGAAGGAACTGTTTAATGATAAGCTCATAAATAAAACCATCATTTATTTTAAGAATAAGCATAAACCAATTATTGTATTAATAATCTGTGATTTTAATGTGGATATCGAGTCGATTATTCAGATAGATAAGATAATTTAAGTCAGTAAATAAAACATTAATAATAACTGCAGATTTTAATATGTTATTTATGCTAATTTAATAAGATTAGATGCATTAAAATTTCATGAGTTGCAATTACTAAATTTACAAAAATGTTCTTTAACTCAATAATTATATTACTTGAAAAAAACTGTATCCATCTTTATATAGTAGTGAGATCATTTAATTAAAGAACTAAAGTATCAGAAACAATAAATAAATGATTTTTAAATATATAAAGCTATTAATTAGCATAATGGTAAGGATAGCAATTTATAAATTTTGTGATATTCATTTTTACCTAATATAAATACTTTCATTTCTTAATTTAAATTTAATTAGAAATATTAATAGAATTAATGGAATAAAAATCTTTGAATTTGAAAAAGCATATCAGATAAACATAGAGTATATTATGAATATTTTAAAAATAGAAAATTGGATAATAACTGTAACTGTATTGTTTTTATTGTTTTAAAGGTCATAAACTTCAATTCTTGTTTATGAAAATTTTTTTGGAGATCTGACAAACATGAAGTTTGGTATTAATTCAATAATATTTAGATTGGGAGATCTTTCAAAATGATTAGCATAGCTATGGGTTAACTTAATGTGGGACTTAAAATATTTTTTAAATATAGTAATGCTCTGTTTATAAATATAATACAGTGATTGCTAAATCATTTCAACTGGGATGTCATAATCATATAAAAATCTAATTCTTATTTTGGAGGTATTATCATATATAATAATAGATTTTATTTTGACAATAAGGATTTTATTGTAGAAGTTGACAACGAAATAGTTCATTCAAAAATATATAGCAATTCTCCAACTCAATTATGTTCTAGCAGTGTCAATAATAGCGACATTATTTAAATCTCAATTACTGTTTACCATGTCAATCCTAAAGCAGTAATTTAAATGAAATCAGATTGGGGAGGCTGGGGAATATCTAATTTTCAGTTATTTATTGATGAGACTCTTTATGAAGGATGTTTTTCTTAAACATAAAAATTTATATGATCTTATGCAGAGAATTCGTAATATTTTAAGAAATCCTGGATATTTTATAATTCTAATCGTTTTTAAAATATATATATAGATCCTAATTTATATTTCATTATAAACGTTAATTATCCATAAAATCTTTATATTTACTTTGAATCATCAGATTTTGTATAATTACACCCCTCTTAATTTAATCAAACTTTGGAAATATCTTAGGATAATTTATTCCACAAATTTATGTTTAAAGTATTGGAAAATTTTAATCATACCAAGTTAATGCAGATTTATTAACCAATTTATATTGCTAATTTGCTTAAATTATGCTAGCAATATTTACTTATATTTTTGCACATTACTTTATTAAATTAATATATAAATATTGTTTCACATTCAAATTTTTATATTACATCAAGAAATCCAAATCAAATCTTTTAAAAAAAATTTTTATAAAGATCTACTATTAAATTTAATAAGTATTGGAATTTCACAAAATTAAGACAATCTAAGTTATAAGCTAATTTTTTTAAGCAAACAGTTGCTTTAAAGTATTTTTATTTTTGTACTCCTCTTAATAATATGGTTTTCGTCAAAATATATCTATAATTCTCAGTTTCATATTTTTACTTATAATTGTCATTATTATGATTAATACCTTTAGAGGATAATTTAAAAAAATTAAAATTGACTAATTAAAAAATTCATAACTTGAAACACTTATTTTATTTAAAAAGATTATGTTTCTTTTTATTTTAATTGCTATTTAAGCCTAACCTATTGTGTAATGTATCTTACTGTCATTTATCTTGTGCATTTATGTTGGTTTTCTTCTTGCTAATTACAAATTAGATTTTGATTTACTATTGAAAATATTGCTTGAAATCCCTGTAATCTTATTTATATTAATTAATTTATTCTTTTGTGATGACTTTGAGATATTTATTACTCCATCAAAATAAATCATATTAGGTTTTTTTCAGATTTGTTTATTAATGTTAAGTTTATTTGCACCTATTATCAAATTCACTCTAAAATTTTATCAAAATTTCAGTATATATAGAAAACTAAGAGAAAAGAAATAAATTACAAAAACTGCCAAAATCTTTGAAATTTTGAAATGGTGATTAATATAAAATATAATTATTTATATTTATCAATTAATTTTATCTAAAACAAAGAAAATTTTCATTCCAAATTTTTTAGTAAATAGACTAAATAACTGAACTGTATTAAAAATTGATTTAAATACAAAGACATCAATATAAATTGGCATTTAATAGGCAAAAAATCATGTGATTGTTTTGGAATCAAATATCATTAGGATAAAAAGATTTCATGAATTCTTCCAAATTATAATCTATATTATTATTAATTCAAAATACACTAATTATTACTAAGTAATAATTAATGAGTTTTACTTTTATTATCAATAATTTCTTTCATTTATTTAGAAGTTATATAATTCTAGAATTTTATAATATTGTTTAATTGATTAAAAATGTTTAAACATCGGCCATCATTAAATATATGTTAATGTTCAAATAAAAAGCATTTTCCAAACTCACATCTCTCACAGTTAAGAGGAAAGAATATTTACATTAGTAACATCAATCATAAGGGATTATATTACAATCATCCTATTCTTCATTGTAAGTGATTTTATAATCTCCACATTTCACATTTTGACATACAAGTTTTTGTTGACTCTTGATAATTCCATCAAATTTAACTATCTAAGCAAATTCCTAAAATGCATTTCTATTTTATCACTGAAAATTGGAATATCTTTTTCAAAATTTTTTTATTCAAATTTATAACCAGATTGGCAATATTATCCAACTACCATAAGATTCTAAATCCAAAAAATGTAAGTTATTCTAATTTTAATAAATAAACTTCATAATCAATTCTTTATTTGAAGATATTTATCTGTTCAAATTTCTCTCAATATCCTATATTTTTTTGCATTCATTTAATCGATTGTATTCACACAATCTTTTGCTTCTGTTTTTCTGTATGATGGACAGTTTATTGGACATTAACCTTTATGGAGATATTTACCAGAATTACACAATACACAACTTTGTGTATTTGTTCATTTTTAACATTCATTTTAACAAGTCTATTATATATCTAATGAATTAATAATATAATTCCTACTTATATTTTCTTACAAGGTTTACACTCATTTGTAGAGGTAATAGATTATACATCAAAAAAAGTAAAAAACTAATCTCTTCTTTTACCTAAACAACTTTTACCAGTTTTATGGCATCTATACAAAAAGAGTCAACCATTTCTAAATAAATAGGATTCATCTCCGAGATATTGATTGGCAATACTTTATATAATCATTTCCATTATTTAAATTATTTTTAACTTATCAATTCAACTCTCTAAGATGAAAAAACTTAATTTATAAAGTAGAAATTTTATTAATTTCCAATTTTTCATAACTTCCCTTAATCAATTTAAAAAAATTATCTATTCTATTTAAAATTATGATCGATCTGATAACTTTTAGGTTAAGTAAGTTTCTCAAAATATTTTGAGTTCATTATCAAAATAATAAAACAATGTTAAAATCTCAAAAACTTTATCTTTTAATTTGAACCCACCTATGAATTATAATCAAAGATAGGATATTATCATGTAAAATTTGGAAATATTTAATTCTTTTAGCCAATTTCAACAAAATTGAAAATATATTTTTATGACAAATATTTCTTATATTTCATAAATAACATTCAAAATGATTTCAGAATTACTTAATTCTAAAGTTTCTATTTAATGAGTATTTTAATCATAATTAATTACATAAAAGAATAAAGATTTTATATTATATACCATATCAATTTTTTTTTGTTTCCAGATCCTTCATTTATATAATTCTCTTTATGTTTTAGTCATTCATAGAAAAAAATACAATTATAAGTATAATCGAGCTAAATTAAATATTATATAAGAAATTACTTTTTAGAATGATATGGATTTTCAAAAAAGAATAAAAAAAAAAGTGCAAAGAGTTGGATAGATAACAAAAGGTGATTTATAGAAGGACATTAAGATTGAATTTTTTTAGCTTAAATAGCTCATAAATTTGTTTAAATGAGTTATTTATTATAAGTAGGGATTTGATCAAAATAATTACTTTTGGCTTTCTTAATTTGAATTTTATTTAAACAATTAATTTGTCTAAATATTAAATATACTAAAATTTAACTTTTAAAATAATCTTTATTTTAAGTGCATCATGAAAAAAAGAAAAAAATTAGTCTATTTGTAGAAATTACTTCTAAATTAATCAATTTAGTGAAATTTAATTTGAATATTGAAAAATAAATTATATATATTAATATTTACTATTGCAAATTTTGCAAATTGAATAATGCATCTTTCCAAAAACTTTCTGTTAGTTATATACTTACAGTAATCTTACAAGTCTTTCAAATAATCATTTTTATTATTCTGATTGAAAAAGTCTCTAAAATTATTAATTCTTTATTTAACTAAAATTCGCTGCAACAAGAAGGTTTCTTAAATCTACTGAAAATTTATGAATCACAACGGTTCTTTCCAATTTCGTATATATTATAATGACAATATTTAAAATCATTTAGACCTTTTCTACCACTTATCCTTCATTTCTTTTGTCAATATTTTTCTCCTTTTTAATTCAAACTGCTTATTAAAAGAATTTTTATAAATTTAATCACTAATAAATAACAAAAAATATATTTTTTTTTATGTATTTATGATACTATTCATGCTTATGATTTATCCTTATATTATCTAAATTGAATAGATGAGGATTTATAATCCCAAGTAATAAGTAATTCTCCATTATCACTAATAGTACCAAAAGTGGAATTTTCACCAAAATCTATCGTTTATTCCAATCTACAGTCCCATTCTGTTAAAGAAGCAGAAAGATTGAAACTTATTAAATTCACATTATAACCATTTTTATGAAAGAGTAAATTTTTCGAAGGGACATATATGGAAGGAAAATAAATTGCACAAGATTCTGTTTATATTGGCAATAATTTTGATTTTAAATATTCTCCAGAGGTTTAGTTTTTTGTGTAAAATTAGAGATACTCTTTCAATTATTGTTAAATTGCAAAGATATTGTTGGTAATGAAGCTTAATCTCATTAGACTACCTTCTAAATGTATCTTTTATTTAACCTGCCAAATTTCTTTTTTTGAACCTTCCATTATCAATATTTATTTATCATCATCACCACATGAGATTAATTTATTTCCCTCTTAATTTATTGATAATCCTTAGACACAACTATTATGATCAGATATAGTCTAAATATTAGACCAAGACAAATTAGATGATTCCATATTTGGTTCAGAACAAAGCCAAAATTTTAATGTATGATCTTCAGAGCCACTAATAAAAAAATCATCTGAAATTGGATTTACTACTATACATGTTATCCAACTTGAATGATCATTCAATTTACATGTAGCCGTCCAATTATTTAATTTCAAAGTAGAAGATTAATTATTCAAAGGGCTCCATATAATGATTGTAGAATCTGTGGAACCTGAAATGAAAGAGTTCCTTTAGGATTTAAAGAAGTTGAGAGTAGTTACATAATTAGTATGGTAGCCTTTCAAAAATTAAATTTCTTTAAATGTTCCTGTGGCTTAGCTTTAATCTTCTTATTATTGAGGAATCAGAATTTTATAAATTTTTATATCAAATTGTGAAGCTGATACCATTAAAGAATTATCGTAGTTAATAGAAATAGCGTAGCACCACTCTTATTATGGTAGAGTCATCTATGGAAGAAGTTCATATTCGAAAGATTACGGTGATAAACAAGCCTATTATTATTATTGGTTCATTATTTGAATTATTAAAAAAAAATTCAATAATTTTCTGGCTTTATTTATATAGATTAGAAATTTTATTTATATAAATAATTTAAAATCAATAATTATTATTTTAAAACGTGACTTATATAATATTTGTATAGATATACAATTTGATAATAAATATTATAGTTGATATTTAATGAAATTGTTTTATGAGATCTTAAGTTTGATTATTGAAAAATCAATCAATCGATTATCAATTAAATAAATAAATTATATTTCCATGAATTTATTGATAAACTTAAAAATTTCTTAACATATTTAATAATTATATTAAATTTTTTAAATTTATCCATTTGCAGAAAAACTAACCTAAGTCATATAATTATCATAGAGATCAATTTAGTAATTTATAAATTTTTAAAATTTCACTCAAAAAATTCAATTATTTTTTAATCTGTAATCAAAATTTAATCCAAAAAGAATTGTTATTGAAACTGAAGCTGCATCATATCCAAACGAATAAAAAATTAGTATCAAATACACTTTTTCATTACGATAATATTTTTATACATAATTGATATAATTAATTTAATTATTGATATCTATGCTACCTTTTATAAACTTCGATAACAGACTTTAGCTGTAAAATATAAGAGATTCTTGGGAAAATAAAAAAAATAAGTACATTTATTCTTTATATAATTATCTTATAAATTGTAATGATAATCTTTGAGTTAATAAATCATTTATTCTAAAGATAATAGCAACAAATTCGTCCATCTTCCTTCCCATAATAAAAATTTGGTTATATAAAATCTAAGTAGCAGCTCACACATTATACTCCTTATTATTGTTTATCTTGCTCTATAATTTAATCGTCTTTCTTATAAAATACATTAATTTTCTAAATTTATAAAAATGCATTACATGATTATCTTTCAATATATGAATTTCAGTTTTGTTCTTTTCATCATCAATGTAGTATGCGCAAGTTAAAATTCTTTCATTTGTAGAACATAATATAAAGGTTTGATTACTGCTATAATTTAGTCTATAAATTTTATTCTCATAAATTCCTAAGCAAAATTTTTCATCAAAAATTATTGCTTAAATGTCTCTCGATAAATTATTAATTTCTATTTAATATAATTTCTGTATGATCTCTGTCTTTAAGTTGTAAACCGCAATTTTTCCATTGTTATAGCCAATGTATAAATTATCTTAAATCACTTTCATGGATATTACATTTTATTCATATTCAAACCATTCCTTTTCCCATTATTCAATGATAAAATTTTAGTTTATTTAACATCCAATTAATTTATTGCTATCTTTAAGATAAATAACTGCGTTTGTAGAATAAATATTTATTTTAAAGCTGTTATAAAAAGTTAAGTGATTCTTTTCAATCACCTTATCATATTTGAATATTAAATTTAGCTCTTTATTTAATAGCAGTAAACTTTAATTAGTATGAACTATGATTTAATTATTATTGATCCTTTGAAAATCCAAAATTATACCTGACATTTTTAGTTCTTTTTTTTGGTTTTAATTTAGATCAGTTTAAACCAACCTTGATTCACTTAAATATATCAAATTCTTTTTATCAATTACTACAATTTTAGTTATTGGAGTATTTGCGAACTTATTCTTATCTTATCCCACACAATTTTTATATTTTAAACCACATTTTTCTATTCTTTATTTTCCATTCTCTATTTAGCTATTATTAGTATTTATCATAGATTCATATTTATTTTATGAGGGTGAAACAAATTCAGAATTTTAATGTTAAAAATTGATAGCTGACATTGATTATTAACATACCTACTATTTTATAAGGTTTTTATCAGGTTCGGTAAAATTATTTTAAATTTGAGAATTAACATCAAATGATGACAAGGATTGTTACTGTTGTTATTAAATAGTTTACTATTATATAATTTAGCCATTCTTGTTCAAATATTGGTCAGCCTCATTTTCAAGAACTATCTATTTTTAATTATCTTCTTTTACTACTCCTAATTATTATTATTCTATGGTGTTGTTTTTTTTTTATGATTCCTTATTCTACTTTATTTAAGATTTAAATTATTAGTCTTCAATTTAATTTGATCTGAGAATCTTGTTAGAATTTTAAAAAACAACTTTAGGATATTTTTATGATTGAGACTACTATTATTATTCTTATTCTTACTGTTATTCTTATTCTATATATTAATCCAAAAAATCTTGTATCTATTTTATTGAATTGTCAATCTAAGCAACATATTTTAGCATTGGTTTTTCTTTTTTATTTTCTTGTAAGGACATATCAAAATTAATTTCATTAAACAAAGTTGTTTACTTAATGAATTATAAATCTTTTGGTTCTTGAAAATAACTGAATTTTTCAACCTTTTGTTTAATTTTTAATTATTTTTTTCCTATAGTAATAGTATGTCTAACAATTATTATTTATAAAATACTTTTTTGCTTCTTCATACACTTTTAACAATTTTTTCATTGTTTCTTCCAGATAAAGAAGACCATCATCTCCTTTCACCTTTTCTTTCATAACTTTCTTCATAACTTAATTAAATTTTTCTAAAGAAACAATTAAATCATTTTCAATGCATTATTCTTGATGAAGATTAAATTTTAAACAATTCTTACAAAGTTATGAATCTTCTCCTGAACAATTAGGATTGATGCAAATATATAAGATTTCCATGTTGTGATATTAACATTCATTAAATGAACTCATTTAAATAAATATTAAAGAATAAAAGAGAACGTATTATTTATGAATTACAATTTTTCACAGGATTTTTCCATTTATAAAATAAAATTGAAGGGAATGCTTTAAATCAATTCATAAAAGTTCAAAAAAAAATGATAAGAATCAAATAATTATAGGGACTGTATATAAAACTTTTGTATAATATAAAACTAGATCCTACAGAAAAAATTTTCTCTTTTCTTTAAGGATAAAATAATTTGTCAAATTATACTTCATTATAGGTTATTTCTATGAAACTAATTATTCATTTTTAAAATTAGAAAATAATGGATGTTGAGGCACATTAAAAAATAAATGATATTATAAATTGGTTTGAATAATAAGAGTTTATTAAGATTATATTCTAATACAATTTTTAATAAATTTATAATTTTTGAATTTTAATATTGAAAGGTTTAAACAATGTTGAAAACTCAATCTCTGTTGGTAGAGTTTTTTGGAATTGAATTATTTTTATTTGTGAATTAGAATAATACATTAGAAGAGAAATAGAAGAATTATTTATAAAGAATTATCTTACAGTTAATTGAAATACTTGAAAGCATACTGTTCACTTAAAATCAAGACTATTTTATTTAAAAGAAATAATCACAAAGGATCTATGATTTTTTCACTTAATAATATAATTTAAAATACTTATCAAATTTAATTTGAATTTTTTAAATAAGATGCAATTTTAGAAACTTAATTGATATCTGTAGTTTTTTTTTAGAATTGATGATGTTGATAACAATTATGTGTAGGAGGAGAAGAATTTAATATTAGACTGGAGTATTACTAGTATGAGGGTACTGGTTTTATAAGACATTCAATTTTTTTATTCTTATTTGGTACCATATTGGAGATGTATCTAATAACTCCACCTTCAATTATTTTTATGGGATCAGAATTTTATAGAAGTTGATAATTTTTTTATATAGAGACATATTGTTATATTTCTCTAATATTAAAACACTTATATTTATATCTAAAATTTTTGATTGTAAATAAATGCCAGAAAAAAAATTGTCTGTAAGATGAGTTTGTTTGAATTAATCAACAATTATGGAATTAAATATTTAGAATTGAAGATGATACTTTTACGGTTATTATTCAATAAATATTCTTCTTTTTGATGATTAGAAACCTTTATTGTATAACTGAAACCACTTCATTTTAAATTTTATAATTTAAGAAAAAACAAAAAAATATTTAAATTTTAATATTGGTTTAATGATGAATGTTATATTTTATTCATTATAAATCATAAAATTTTTTACACTTAAAATTTTCTATTTTTTTTAAATCAAATACTCTATTCAATTCAACTATGTATATTGAAATAATAGTTTTAATTTAAATTAAATATTATTCTTTTATGTCTAGGATTTATCAAAATAACTTGAAAAATTAAATAAACCAGGTACTACTATTTTCTTACTTACCACAAAAGTTCTTAATTACAAATCAAATATTCTAAAGTTAATGATAACGTATATCTGTTTAATTTCAGGATAAAATCTTGATCACTTGAGAATTCTTATATTTAAAAGATTATTAATAAAAATATAAAATTAGTAGTTAGAATGGACAATTAAATGAAAAGATTTTTTAATAAATTTAGTTATTAAAGACTTATTCTATATGTAAATTAAATAATGGACGAGAAATAGAAAATTTTTCATATTTAAGCACTTTAATTGTATGAAATTTCAAATTTTCTATCTAGCATAATAATTGATCCAAATTAAGAAGTTTAAGTTATTATATTTATTGATTCAAACCATAAAAAAATTTAATTTTATATTTTTAATTAATTTTATTACAATTATATATAAAAGAGGAAAATATTAATCGTTAGAAATAAAAATTACTTTCAAAATAATGCAATTTACAAAGTTTAATTCTGGTTTCTTATTGGTTAGACCTGAAAAACAGTTTCTGATCTATATTACTATTAGGTTTTTGTCTTTTATTATTGTTCTAATTGCTTTTATAACTATTACTATTATTATTATTTCTTAATTATAATAATTTTTATAATTTTTGCAATTTGCATAATTAATCGAAATAAAATATCACAAATTTGGAAAAATATTGCCAAAAAGACTAATGAAATTATTAACCAGCCTAAGATAATTTTGTTTTGTTCGATAAATAAAATAGTTATTTGATCGTTTATAGCAAACAAGGTAATTATTAAAATTATTGAACTTAAACAAAAATTGGATATGAATTCTATCAAAAATTCCTTTTTTGAGTGATATGGATTTTCAAATAATAAGAAAAACAAACCTAAAGAGGTGGATAGATAACATAAAGATACTTGAAGAAGTGGTTTATAATAACAATTCACCAGAAATAAAATGTATAAAACTTTCCTTATCTATCCAAAAAATTAATAATAATATCCATAAGAACTCTTAGTATTTATTTCTTCGTAATAAATTCCATACAGCTCTTAAAAATGTTTACATTTTGCTTTAAGCTAATGAATATTCAATATTTAATATTGTTGATATATTTAAAATATAAGGATGGCAATTGTTAAGATGGCAAAGAATTGATTTAAACCTACTATAATATTGGAAGAATCTTTTGAAAACTATAATTAGAGAGAAATTGCTAATGTAATATCTAATAAACATAATTAAATTGTTTATTTAAATTAATTTAACAGATGAATAGAAGTTAATTTAAATGTATTAGTAATCTTTATTAGATAAGGATTTTCTAATTTTTGTTGTTCATTTATTTGAATTGATTTATTCTCTTAAGTCATTTTTCTTATCTAAAAATTAATTATAGTAAAGGCTTTGTTTTTTTAAGGTATTTTTGGTTTAAGAGTAGTATTAAGGAAGGAAAAGATATAGTAAAGTCCTTAATTTATCAAATATATGATTAAGGAGAAAAGTATAAAAATAAATGGGGTTTGTATGTTATTGAAAAATAATGGGTCTATTCCTTTGTCAGTAAATCTTTTAGGAGCCTTAAAATAATAACTAGAATCTGGTTAATTTAACCCTTAATAGGTTGGTAAACTTATATAAGATGACCAATCACTATTTAAAAAAAATGTTTCCACATTAAAAGGAAAATTAACATTAAAAAAATAGAAATTATTGATCCAACTTAATATTTCTAAAATTACCCATAAGGAATCAAACATATTGAGAATTATAGAAATAGGTATCAAAATAAGAAAAATAAAATTAAAAGATGATTACACATTTAGTATTGTTTGGCTTTAAATATTTTCATCTTCACTTAGAACAATAAACTCCTTTGGAGTAATAACGTATTAAATCTATTTATCCTTTTATAAAAGTAATCTGTTTTTTTGAGATGAAAAGGCGTAATTTATTTTAACATGAATTGTATTAACTTTATTTATAGTTTTTTTTAAATCAAATTACAATCTACAAGTTAATTTATCAATTTAATTAGATGTGAATAAATAAAATGAATTGTTTATATTTTCTATAGTAATATTTGTAGTATTGCATAAAAGGTATAGTTGTGATGAAGGATTAATAGTTAAATCATAGATATTATTCCCTTAAAAGTTATGATCTATCATTTGATTAAGATCATTATCTGAATATTCTAGATTGCATTAAGAATCACAGCCGTCTCCATCTTTTAAGTTATGATCATCACATTACTCGTAATAATCAACTTAAATTCCATCACCACATATAGAATCACATTTTTTAGTTTTAAAATTTGGAATAAGGCCAGGAGTAGATTCACAAAAATCACAATCTTCTCTAAAACATGATGTACATAAATTTGATTGTAAATTACAAGTAACACAATTCAAGTCACACATATAACATTTATCTTCAATAGGATAATAACCATTTATGCAAGATTTGCAAATTAGATTATTCTTATCCAAAGTTAGGCACTCAGTACAGTTTTCATCACACGTAAAACAATTTGAATAGGGCAATATTCCACAGACATATCCATTCTTTATTTTACATTTCTAGCATCCTTCATCTAAAGTATCACATTCTTCCTGTAATTTATTAAGTAAATTATCTCCGCAAATTGAAACACAAGCATCTCCGTCTAAAAGAAAACCATCATAGCATTTAATGCATTTACCATAATAACAAACAGAGCAACCATGCTTTTTTGTATCAAGATCTTGATTACATTTTTCATATTAAATTAATTCACAGTTTGAACAACCATCATAGTTATCTAAATTACCATCATCACATTATTCATGATCTTATTATATGGAATCACCACAATTTGTAACACATTAATTGTTAATTGAATTCAAATAATATCCATAATTACATCTTAAACAAATATTTCTTACACAATTGCTACAATTAAATATACATGATAATTATAACATATCCAAATCATAAGACAATTAATATTCAACATTTATAATATGTGTTATTTCTAAAGTCTTTTCTTTTTAATATGTTAGAAAGCATTGTCCTTTTATACAATTTATGCATTACTCTTCACACTGATATCTACAATTAAAACATCCATCAAATGGATCATAATTTCCATCATCACATTCTTCCTCCCCAACAATTAATTTATCTCCACAGATTGGAATGCAAGGATTTCTATCAGATTCATAATTAAACAAATCAAATGTATATCCAGATTTGCATTCAGAGAATCCAAAAACAACAAAATTCTAAATTCCACAAAAGGCAAGTTTTTCTTCATTTTTACAATCAAAATCTATAATGAGTTACTTTGCAGATGAAAATTGATAATTGATTGATTATTAAACTTAATATATATTGAATATATATGAGTTTTTCCAATTTTGATCTTCAATGATTTGATCATCTCCTACGTATCCATTATTTAAAGTAATACTTTATTAAACTTGGTTATTTATTTTATAATAAAAAACATTGCGATTTGTTTGTGTATCTCCTAAGATTACTTAAAAAAATATTTTAATATATTAAATATTTTGAGTCCATATTATAGAAAATTGAAATACTGCATTTACCCAAACAAATGGTCCTCCAAATATCCTTTTATTTGAGAGATAGCTGAAATAAATTCCATCACCTTTTAAAAAATTTAAATTGCTATTCCTATTATTTTAAATTTAAAATAAACTATTTACCATGCTTTTAGTTGTTGATAGATCATGAAATTCTTTCACTAATTATATAATTCTTAAATTATATTTAATGAAAATATCAAGATTGTTTAAACAATACATTCCTTCAGTTTTTGTATATGCTGGGCAGCTATTGAGACATTAACCAAAATAAAGAAATTTCCTAGTATTACATATTAAACAACTTTATGTATTTGTGCACAATTAACAACCTTCTTCACAAGATACTTAAAAATCTTTAAATATTTATAAATTTTACTTATATCTTCATTGCATATTAAATCTTCATCATAACCTAAATTTTTTTCGCATTTATCTTTACAACCTTCAGCAATTTAAAGAAAGTTATTGTTATTAGGCATCATCTTACAAGACTAACATGAATTAGTACTACTTTTCGTTATTCCATCATAACAACTATTACATTCATTTTTCCCTTCGCCAAAACAAGTTTTACATGTTTTGTAACATCTATATGAAAATAGTTATATATTTCTAAATAAATATGCCTCATTTTCGAAAACATTACTTGTGCCACTATATACCTCCAGAGATATCAAATTATCTTAGTTATTATATTCAATTATTTTTGTTCTTCTCAATTAGTAATTAATTGAAGAATCATACGAACATTATTGAGATTATCCAAAAGCTTTACTCTGCAATGGGTATAGACACTCAGTTTTTAATAAGACATTATTCATTTTTATCTTTATACAATCATCTTAATTCTATTCTAAAGCTCCATGTCCATATACATCAATATATAATTAAACTTTAAAGTGTGGTAATAAACTCTAAAATTTGGTATTGATAACATTGCATTAATGATTTGTTTAATTTAACTTAATTGAGTCCATTCCTTTATTGCAATGAAATACCTGATTTGGAGGTATTTAGATGTTTTAGCAAGTCCATTTATTATTGGGAAATGAAATAATTTTACGATTAAATTCTTCGTAAACTGATTATATCACACAAATAGTATTTTGCAGTAGAAAACTAAAACATAACATCAAGTGGAAGAAAGGTGTATTATTCATAATTTTTTAAAAGAAATATTGAATTTTAGAATTGAAAAATAACAAAATATATATATTGATAATTCTTAACATATTTAAAAAAAGTAAATCAAATAAACTTATTAGTTTGATTTTGCTTTCATACATAACACTTATTTATAAAGAATTCCACGAATAGTTTTCATAACTTTAAGATTTAAAGCAGTTATCAAATTTAAAGTTTTATTTTTTTGCACAAACAACATAAATATAAGAATAAATTTAATTACTTTAAACTATTCTCTATAATTCATTATGGTTTTAGATTTTTTCATAAAATTTAATCCTCAGATTTAATAATCAACTAATGTATTTTACAAATAATTTATGTAGATTCTTTAAAATTTGAAATTAGATGTTTAGTATTAATCTAATACTAAATTGACTTGAAATTCTTGAATTCACTTCAGTAATTTGTTCATAACTTAGTAGTCATCAATACATAAATATTATAAATTATAAATTTTGGAATTTCAGTGAAATAAAAAACCTGTACTATATTCTCAATTTATTAAAATAAAATTTAGTTGATGAAATCTAGATTTTTAAAAATTAATCATATGCTAAATTCATGTAATCTTGGTAAGATTTATAGGTGGTTAGTAAATTAGAATAAAAATATAAATATAAATATATAATATCATTTATTGATGACAAGAGTATTAAATTTAACTCAATAGAAAATATATGAAGGATTTATTTATTAATTCATCATTCTATTAAACAAGTCGTCTAAAAATTTTAAATATTATCTCTTTAGAAAAGAAATATTCTTTATTTGATACACAAGTTTTAATATATTTATAATCTAATTATAGTATTCGATATATTATTGCATAATTTCTGCAATCATTTATCAGAATTATCGCTCGCTCTTATACTTCTATTCAGAAATTTAAAGCAATTAGTTTATTAATTTAATTACGCTTTACTACCTCTAAGTAATATAAAATCTTCTAAGCTACCACAGAATCAGCTAGTCTTATTATTTTTTTCTTCATTAGTTCTATATCAGTTTTTTTTGGCATCTAAGGAAAGAGATTAATTAATATGTTTTGGTAAGCTCATCTATAAATCTTTCTTAGCAAAATTAATAGTTAGAATAACTCATCTGAAAAAATAAATTAAGATAACTCTAGATCATTAAATTATAAGAAATCAAAAATTTTGGATAAGATCAAATCAGAAAAAAAATAGTATTAATAAGTTATATATA